AATAAATGTAGGCCATACACATATTTCTCCCAGCCTGGGAATCGAATCCAGGACCTCTGCATGACAGTCCGGCATGGTAGCCGTTCGGCCACGGAGGCAGTTAAATTTGGCTGCGCAGACGGCGCAGCGTCACGCTTAGTACACCAGCGAGTCGGGTAGACGAGGAGTTTATCTCCAGCTACTCAAGCTTTGAACTCTTGCAATCGGCGTAAAACCAAAATATGCGTTGTAGATCGCCTCTGGTCAATATGGCCCAACGTCATTGCCGCCGGAAGTAGGTTTGTACGTTTCGCTATAGTACATAGTGATCTATTTCTAAAATATAAACTGCTTTGTCACGAGAGGAATTGCGACAAAATTAAGTGAATTGTCGTGCTTATTTCTACAAACTCATGAGCATTCAAAATATAAGAACATAATATAAACCTAGTACTTAACCATATTAAAAAATATTGAAATTAGTACGTTATAGTTGTCTTATAAAAATGTGTAACACTTCGTTAGTCAAACGATGGCGTCACAATGTCATACTGCCAATTATAGAAAAAAAATAGATGCTAAGTACAAAACTAGGTTTTTTTTAGTTTTTTGTTATAAAAGCAAGTGCACGAACAAGTCGTGCGCCTGATGGTAAGCTACACGCCTGTCTATAACGGTTGCAGTGCCACTCAGAGCTCGCAGCAATAGTAAAGATACTTAGAGGATGGAAAAAAATAAATCCATAGTCAAGCAAAGATATGAGGGGCACTGCCACCGCGCCAGTCACCCTGAGACATAAGTTGACAAGTCCCATGTGCCTGTAATTTCAAGCACTCTTACCCTTCAAAACCGGAACGCAGTAATGCTCACATTACTGCTTGGCGGCAGAAGTAGGTAAGGTGGTACAGGTACTTCTCTGCACGAACTCTTACACAAGGAGTTCTACTGCTACTACTAGACTAACTAGATCTGCTAATGAAATGCCCAAAGTCATCGAACTTTGAAATTCCTTATCTTTACGTCGTCCTTATCTGTAGATAGATAGTCTAATAATCTAAAGTATAGTACATAACGTACAGTAAAGCATACACACCTGGTATCCATTGCCCATCTTCATACAACAACTCAAAGTCTCCCAGCTTCATTTTCAAAGGACCTAAATCCAATGATAGTTCTTTCGAAGCATAATCACTTCCAAACTCAGCCTTGACCACCGAAGTGTCCTGCTTTCGCACTGGTATGGTTTTAGGTGCGAATTTATTACTAAACAACGGCATTTTGAATAGAAAGCGGAGATGGAGCAACTGTAGATAATGTATATACAGCCACCAATACAACTGTAACGATGACATTTGTTAGTCACAATGTCACACAACAAACTGTCGTCATGGCAACGCATGTCACTTACTGTCACAAAGTGACACATTTGCGTCTAGGAATACCTTATAGCTTAGAGGATGGAAAAAAATAAAAGAAAGGAGCTGCCCTAAGTACAGAATCAACGTGCATATTACCAAAATTTGAAAGTTACAAATGGCGGATTTCTTTAGTGTTGTACCATAATCTATCGATAAGTCATTATCGACATGCAAATGTATGGCTTGAATTTTTGTTTCTTTAGTTTACTGTAACCAAAGTATGCCTAAGCAAACACAAGTCTGATAATTTAATCTCGAGTGGTATATTATTATAAATGTCAACACACATTTTTAAACTTCAAAAAAAATTTATTTTCAACATTACAACTGGTAACTTATTTAGTAAAAGTCACCAAACTGCTGTGCAGTTTGTTGGCGACATGCGCATTCTTGCTTAATTATACCTACTTTACTTGTATTTATCATTACGTAGTATTAATTGTACTTACTAAATAAAATATAAAAATTACTTTAAGAGGTACGCCTTTAACCTACATTTTAGTACATATTTACATAACGTCTTTTAACTAACCGTCAAGTACAAGTCTATTCAATGTTTCTGCGGATTCTAGTATTCCCGTTAATTCCCGGGCTTTCTTAAGCAAATGAATCTATCAAGCAATTTTAACACAGAAATAATGGAAGTAGTTGTAAAAATCAATTATCGGAAATCAACAATTATCATGTACTAGCTTTTCCCCACGATAAAATCCCCGCAATAAAGTTGCAAAAAAGAAATGACAAAAACGAACGTGGTGGATGCTGATTATTCCAGAAACAGAGCAACATGACATTTTGTTGATATACATATAATATATACTTCTTTATTTTGTGTTTTGATTTTTTTTTGAATAGAGTTATAAAACCAGTATGCATTTCATATGCGGACGGACTAACGTGTGAACGCTATTGGTCGAGCGCCTTTGGTTTGTGATAAGCCGAATGAACTCTATACACGTTGGCGCTCGCCTTCACTCGGTCAGCTAGGCGAGTGACACCGAACAAGGCAAGGCAACGCAAATAGGCTGTCTATACGTTGGTATGTTGTCATTGTATTGCAGGCTTTAAAAAAATAGTCATTTTTAATAGTTAGAGTTGTCATTGGGAAAAATCAAAAACGAGTGGATAATTTTGTTTTCAGGAACTGAGAATAGCTAGTAAATGAGTCTTGTTTAATCTAAATTGAACATAAAATTATTTACCAATAAACCTAATGATGGAATAGCATTGTCATGTAATCTAGTTACATTTAAAGTTCTGTTAAAATTTGACTCTTCAAAATGAAGCGAACAAATGAATATGGTCTTTGATCCAACGTTTATATTCGGCAGTCCTATGATTTCCAACCATTCTTTCTTCCTTTTTTCATTTGTAGGAAAACTTGAAATAATAATAATAAAACAATAAAAACCTCGTAGTGAATTGTTTTAATAACAGAATATCGATAATATGTATGCTTACAAGATCAACACTATCTCAAAATAATCGTTAACAACAATCATCAAAATATACAAACAAACAGGCAATCTAAAGTAACAAAAGCAAAATTTGGCAAGATTTATAAATAAACGACTTAAATAAGTCTAATTACATAAAATATTCGGGCTATTGTGTGATTTATAGACAAAAAAATAACACATGCCTGTGCAATGAAACATTCGATTGATTTGCAGTTTTTCTAAAGCCGCATCCTTTAAAGCTGCAGCGTCGCATTTTTATTAATAAATAATTATTCTCACTGTCAATATTTTTGTCCAATTTAATTATAATACATGTGAATAATTCAATAATACATTTGGAAAAACATTTGTTTTGACATTTGATGTACTTCCCTTTGACAACGGTATCATGTACCTCATGTACTTGAAATGGCCACGGTTGGCATTTAAAATGACGTTACGAATTTTCGATTCCCGTGTTTGACACAGACCAATGTAATGCTATCTCTTTTGGCTTAAGACGGCACGTAATAGTTAAACAAAGACAATAATATGTTTATGTTTTCGACGTCGAAATGCATCATATACATATAACGTCTGATTTATACATGTCAACGTAACATGTCCTTTCTTATAGGCTGTAAAATACAAACGGTTTTAAGAGCATTACAAATTTCCACATTTTTTTACTTTCTCAAACTCGTATATTATAGCAGAGAACAAAAGTAAAGAGAACGGACACTCTCCGCCCCTCCCTAGCTTTAGATACCGCACCACGCTCCGCATATTGCCGATCACATTGACTGAACCACAACAAAGCTGCCGGCGAGCCGTTTTCGCGCGAAGACGGCTTTGATATTTGAATATGGTTTTCATTTATTCATTACGAAACTTGTACGTCAATATAAAACATCATTTTTTCATTTTACTTGGACACGCAATTTCAAATACCTTGGTTACCTTATTTAAAGGTACATGTCCAAAATGTAACATTTTTAAGTGCTTTTAATATATTTTTTAAATAAATCTTCAATATTACTCTAGTTGGTGAATTAATGAAATATCGATGTAAATAGACATGTGTAATTATTAGGATTCTGGATTCTATTCTATTCTATTAATAGAATCATAGATAATAGATTCGCGTTAGCATTTTCGCTATGTTAACGTTCTGATCACGTAACGTAACAGTGGAAGAAAGTGATGGGTCACCCTGCCACTTCACGCATACATTTGCGCATTAGCAAGCGCCTTACTGTATGTAAGTAGTAGTAGGTAAATAATTTTCGACAGTTGTATGGAGTGTCCGGGGTATGCTTATAGCACAAAGTTACTGAAATGCAAAAAATGGATTGCATATACAAATTTTACAGGCTGATTTCACATCACATTTCCTTCATATTTACATACTGGCTTTTCCCTATTCTTAAAGTAATGCATCCAAATTAACACCCTTGATAAGAAATTTAAAATAAATAGCAACTTTTGTCATCTCCTGAATAATCCCTCTTTATAAGATACGAGTTTGATAAAGTAAGGCATCGGTTTGTTCGAAAGTAGTGAATAGTATAACGTACTGCAAAACTGGGCGGGTAAACTTCCTCACAAGTGTGACGAAAAACATTGTATGCCACACTGACGGAAAAACAAACAGAAACGTTCAGGCCATTACGATCATCGCAATTGGACTGAACCAAGCCGAGTTAGGGATCATCAAACTTATAGACTTAAACTGGCTCGGATGACGTGAAGCGAAACGCACGTCTTTTTCTCTCGTATTTCATTACGTTTACTGACCGACTCAAGCCGATTCCGCGTCGACTAGTGTGGTGTATCCCTAAAAGCATTTGCAATATTAACAAATAACAGCGATCACCAGTTCAAATTGACACACGCAGCATATCCACGACAGATATAAATAACACTGTTCTAATTAGAAACTTTACTTTGAAACAACGTAATATGATAGCGGGAGTAATTTACAATAATTCAATGCAGCAGTAATGAATTATTAAAAAAATCCTCACCTGTTTCACGCGTCTTGACAGCTTCTTCTTTAATACCATAAAGTTATCTACAAGCAAAAATACATTTGTACGTAGACTTTAAAGGTAAAACCAAAGGTAAACAACAGAGTTAGGAATGTAAACAACAAAGTTAGGAATGTAAACATTTTATTACGTAATACTGTTGTTACTCAAAAAATATAAATAATACTTAAGAAAAATACTTAAATAAAAATTTTACAAGTTTAGTATAGGTAGTGTTGGAGAATAAGTAGTAACATTTTGCAGACTTATGTTATTTATTACAATTCAGTACATTGCTATAATACAGTCATGTGTATGCATTATTGTTTAAACCTTGTAATATTAGAGTCGCCTCAAATTGCCGCAGCTAGGCGAAGCGACGCAAGATACTGGACACCGGACTGCACCGCGCGGCTTTAGGGCCAGTACAAACCGGCGGCCGGCAAAGTGTCAAATTCGTGTAATGCAAATCAATGTATATTTTGTGCTTTTACATCGTAATAAGGTATAAATTTCAGTGCTCTGAGACGCAGATAGAAATGCGTCACGACGCTCCGAGGTCGGTCTCAAGAGCATTGTAATTTATACCTTATTTCAATTGAAATAGCATAAAATAGCGCACAAAAACATTTGTTTTTTATTTTTAACGTCATCTTGGATTTGGGAGTACGAACTGTAAAATGCAAAAACGTACAAGGACGTTGTTTGGCTAAAATTTGCTACATCACGTAATTACGTTATGCTGTATAAAGGGAACGCGGTATAGGAGATAGCGCAATACTGACATTTTTTTGGTAGTCACAAGTATCGCTGAGTTGTGAAACAATTTAATAGTAACCCTGTGAAGGATTATCGTCATTTTTTGAACAGTGTCGTTTTGACGTGATTAGTGGATAAGTTACAGAGTAATTATTTATCCTATTATTTTCGAAGTTTAAAATTAAATTTCATGGCATAATTTGTTTTTATGAATCCTTTGTGACGATATTGCATATTAAGAAATGTTGATTTACATGAAAACATTATATTATATTACTATTATATCACTATTGTGATACTAAACGAAATTCTAAAAAATACCTTTATTTTATTGTGGTAAGTGAAAATTTATATAATACTTCTAAAACTTTGTAGGTTCCCTTTTATTTTTGCTGAAAACCGCGTTGAAAAATCTTCGTTGAGTAAGAAATTGCAGTTATCCTAATTTTCAAAACTCTTATTGCTCATTACTCAAAATCAAAAATTTTGCATTGTGTCACTGTCATTCTCAGTGTGCGATATACATAGTTAAATTTGATGTCCTCTGCCCTCCCGTCCGCGTCTGTTGGTTTGCGCTGACTCCTTACTCTTTTGTAATTTTGCGTTCAAAGAAATGTATAATTTATTATGTGGCTAATATTATTTTGCATTTATTAAAGTACGCGTGTCGCGGGTCGACACTGCGTGGCGTCGCTTGCTGCATTTTTTTCATTTTTTGTTTTTTAAAAGAAACGTAACATTATCTTGTAAAAAATTATGTTGCATTGCTCGTTTAAATCACCGCCAGCCTGCGGCAATTTGAAGCGGCCCTTGCCTAATAATTAGCCTATAATTTTAATATACACTTTGTATGAAAATGGAGTTGTAATATCGTGTTAATGTAATTATGCATGTGTCTGTAATTATTTACGAACGTTTTCACTTAACGTTTGTTACGTTTTTAGTCTGATTAACATCAAGGCGGGAATGATTAGGACCACAGAGCCGTAGGTGTATGTTATCGCTGCGCCTGAGCTCCAATACACTGCAAAGATTAGATACAATACAGATACGACATTAGGTTTAAGTGGTGAAGATTTAAGATGTAAAGATTGAACATTACGACATAAAATTGTTTCGGGGGTTTTTTACGATAACTTTTTAGTGATACACTTCATCTACCGTTACTTCAAATTTCTAATAATTTATATTTTGGGACATTCAGAGAATTTGTAGCCAACTAATATGCTACTAATATGCGGGTCGGGATTAGAATTTAAAGGGCAAAAATTATTGATTCCTTTTTAAGAATTAAAATCTGATACCTTGTAGAATTTTAAACATTCTCTTTGGTGTCTGTACTAATGCCTCAATGTTAAAATCGAATATCATCTTGTGCAGCTTTCAACATGGAAGTGTGCATTTTGTGTTGTTATGTTAATAACTAATATTATATTAAATAAAATATGTATACGTTAAATTAAATTAATCAAATTCTATAATGGTATTTGTATGAGTGGATGACGGCTTCCGTAACAGCAAATATCCTCTATTCTTTTTATTATTTATTTGCCTAGGTTTTTAACAATGTACTTAATATTTGTTTTAAAGTTGTTTTCAATCGCAATATACAGGGCGTCTCACGGCTATGCCACACGGAAGGAAAGTATCAAATTAAATGTTACATTTTATTGTTTAAGATGCTATATTATTTAGAAGTTCATAATCCTTATATAAAAAAATAATAAAATTCTTTTATTTCGGACAACAAGTTCCATAATTTGTTAGTAATCTAATAATAACAAGAAAAGTGCTTATAAATTAGTGTTAGTAGATACTTTTTTTACATTAATTTTCAAATCACCTTTCGCATGAAGCATTGCCACATGGAAGTGGTAATCCTACCAGCCACAGTTTGTAGGATGCTGTTGGGGCTGTCCCGCACTCTGCGCATCAGGGATGCTGTTTTTTCTGGAGGATGGCAGGAAAATCATCCGCCTGATACTCTGCAAACATCCCCGATGCACTGCAGAAACGAGGCAGTCCCAACATCATCCTAAAAATATTATTGTACTTTACACGTAGGCGTAGGGTCTCCAGCGGCCGTTTGGTATAATCATGTCGTCCGCGTAGCTGATGTTGTTAACACAAACATCATCCACGCGGCAACCGACACGCATGTCGCTGAGCCCAACAGTGAGATCCTATAACCTAACCGCGCACTCCAAACCATATGCGTCAGAGAGGGCACTACCCCACTTTATAACATTACATTGGTGACTGTACCAAAAACGAAAAAATTTTAACAAGTCAGGCGGTACACCCGTGTCCCCCTACTTCCCCAGAGTATATCATAAGATACCAGTTCAAATCCCGTGGAGAGGTCGAGGAAACAGGCGTACACAGGCGTCCTCGATTGGTGTAGTACTGGAAAGAACGTTTGAGTGCTAACATCGCGCTTTCCGTTGATAGTCCAGGTCTAAACCTTAACTTAAATATTTTTTTAGAATAGAATCAAGCATACTGTCCAGCACCTTGGCTATTGTAGTGCCTAGGGAGATTCGACGGTAGTTCCCCTTGTCCGATATGTCTCCTGTCCTGTTCTTCACAATCGGAACTATAATCGTCTTCATAAAATCATCAGGTAGAATGCAGGCCTAAGACACATTGAGAAGAACGTGGACAGGAGACCTGGCAAATGGTTCCCCGCGTATTTGAGATGTTCGATGCTGAGCCCATCGTGCCTCTCGTCATACCCTTAATTGTGTCGCGTACCTGGTTCGCAGACACATGTAACAGAGGTACATCACACCGAGAACAGAACTCAGCATCCATCACCCAGAGGAAGGCCCGAGAGGAGAGTGAACTTTAAAATGTTCCATGAATAGCAGCGCAATCTCTCTTTGGTCACTCTAACCCTCCACGCTCACGGGGGGGCCAGGCCTAATATTCAGATTACCAGTCGATGTCCAGAAGGTCTTAAAAACTTTTGCTGCAGGCTCTTTTGCTATTTTATCGATTATTAACTGTTCCTGGTATTTCTGACACCACTTCAGACGGCTCTTATAGATTTTACGAGTTTCGCACATTTGCTCATAAATTTCACCTGAATTGGGTCTGTTACTCAGCAACTTGAATTTAAGCCTGGCCTCCGCGTGCGCGGCCCGTACATATTTGTTCCATCCACAAAAACTTTTACCTCTCCTGGGTCCCTCGATTCCACGCTGCCTCGTTCGTACAGCTGCGTCAGTCTTTGTATCCACCTGTCCAGAACAGACCTGTGCTCAGTCAAGACATACAGCCCATTACCGCATCTCACAAACTCTTGCGGAAAACTTATGTCACGAAAAGTATTATTGCATATATCACGATACTTATTCATTTGTTAATGACTTCTCTCTCCCCATGAAACTGCGCCAGATGTGAATTCACTAGTCACCAGCCTAGGTCTGACCACACACAGATCACATTCAACATTGATAGGTAGGTGGTCCGACGTGTAGACATCCTCATATATGCCTACTTTGGTAATTGTATGCCAAGCTGAGAGGGGAAACAATACAGTGGTCTAACCACCTTCTACTACCCGATTTTTGACAAATGAATGTATACACATTTGAAGAATATCCAGCTTTTCTACATCTGCACACATTCACGATTGATCTGAACAAAAGTTAGAAAGTTCCCTATAGAAGGTCTTCTGTGGATGTGCATTAAAGTCTCCTAAGATGAATATGAACTCAACATTACTACTTTCTTCTATTGCACTAATCTCACTCAAACCCTCCGTAACAATAGGTAAATTATCTTTATTACATGTAGGCATGTACACAGAAAAGAATATTACAGAGCGACCACCAGAAGTAGCTTTGATAGCAGCTAACCTCGGGCTACTGCAATCAAGGACGGCGACGGATTCAAACATACCCTTTCTCCAGAGAATGGCCACTCCCCCATAAGGTCTTCACACCACTTCTGGTGGGAAGACCTTAAGGGGGGCCTTCGGCCGAGGACGTGTCCACCGCTGACTTACCTGTATATTCAAAATTTTTGCTAACAGTACCTAATAATGGAATATCCTGGGGAAGTAGCCACGTCTCCTGTTGGGCAACTAAGTGCGAACGCTCGCACAGTGTTCTTACACAGTTCATAAATGTAGGCAGATACTAACAGTTAAAGCTATTAAAACTTAAATTGAAAGCTTATTTCACTAAAATTGTCTATCTACGATATTCGAGGTACTTTCCCTCCGTGTGGCATGCGTGGGACGGCCTGTATAATATATGTGGGTAATTCTTACAAAATCTCGATATTCTTGTCCTTTAGGTTTATAAAAAAAGTATTTCATTCTTGCCGTAAAATGAATACTTAATATTTATTAAATTATAATTCAATTACTACTAATGCCAACATAAAATATTGATTAGTCTATTTAAATAAAATAATAATAATATAAAAATATTCCCAAAATCATTCCCTCACCATGCCCCAAGTTCCATAATCCAACACGCCCTGTGCTTTAAATCAACATATTTAACAAAAACAACCTTTAAATTTTAAACATTCGATCAAATAAAATATGTTTTTGCAAAATTAAAGCTATCCTGTGGTAAAAACACGATTAATAAATTTAAAAAATGCATTATTATTCATGTCCCAACCAAACAAAATCATTCCCTCACACTTTTATCTTCACTCGCTTTGTAAACGCATTTTTAATCTTTGGTAAATGCATTTTGTAAGTTTTTGAAAGTTAGCACTGTAAACGTTTCAAAATGACAAAATTCAACTTGTGTGTGTAAAAAGTTTTGACTACGAAAAGATTTCATTTAAAATTCTAAAAGTAACATTTTTAACAGTCATTCCCTCACATCAAATAAAAAGAATTTGTTTATTAATTATCCACCCAGACGAGTTATTGGTAGCAGTAAGCTTACACAAAATATTAAGTCTAAAGTCTGTTTTTTCTTGGTTTATTTTAATTTCGTCATTCCCTCACCCTCAAATGTTCTGACTGACATTTTCTTAAGTCATTTACTTTGGGGGATCACTAAATCATCAAACACTATTTACATAAGTACTATGAAATTGACTAAAAATAAATACAAATTCTTCCTAAAAATTTTCATTCAAATCGAAAGCACGAATTTCGAAATTTCGTGAGAACTGCATGGGCAGTTCTCATATCTATAATTGTAAAATGTATATTTGTTCTTAGGTTTTCGTGATTATTACACACAGGAAATGAAACTATTTTTTCGTATCTAAGTCACGTATATTTGTTTTTTCAAACAAACCAACGTTTCGGGCCCTTTACAGGTGCCATTGTCACGGCTGACTAGTTATTTGAAAAAACAAATATACGCAATTTAGATCCGAAAAAAATTGTTTCATTTCCTTTGTGTGTAGTGTTGTGATTTTTACTGAATTAATGATCTGCTATTTCTATGCTGCCACCCGTTACGTCAACCACTATGTATAACGCAAGACTTATTTTTATTTATTAAATCAAAATTAAAGTCAGAACAATACAATTTCCTTTAGGCAAGTACTTATTGACTATGACACCCCCGTGGCGCATAGCACATAGTCGCTACTGTGCTCATTACTTTAATACAAAATATAGTAATAAAAAATATAATTTAGATTATACAAACCTGAAGAAGCTACTAGAGGCCCAAGACCGCGGGCCAAAGCCCCTAGCGATCTCAAAGTGCCCAGCACGGCTCCACGCGCCTCCTCCGGCGCTTGCGCAGCTGCCATCGATGTCATACACGATACGGCGAACGCAGTCGCTATAAATAAAATTTATATATTAAAGACGAAGAAATACAAAAGAATTCTAAAACGTATACGTATGAACAGAGTGTAAGATAATATTGTAAACAATTTCTAAAAGTTCACTTTCTCTATTTTATGTCCTCGTGGCTACTGTCAAATCTAATATAAATTTGTTATAGGCAAAAAACTTACACAATGCAAAAAGTACAAGGCCGATCCACAACCAACAGATAGGCGCAAACAAGGGTGGTTGGTTGACCGCTGCCAGAGCCACGCAAATAAAGGACGGAGGAGTGAGGACTAAGGCCCCCCGCGCGGCCCGCTCCGCGCCGCGTGTGCCCAGACGTCTGGCAGCACCGCCTTGCAGGACTGCCATTATTAACCCTGAAAATTAGTCGTTTTTAATGCTAGAGGATGTTTCCAATCTAGCAAAATTGACATAATATGCCTCGTGACTTAATATTACGACTACAATTCTATCAGCGCACAAAGTGGTGTCACCCACATTTAATTTTTTTTTTATGATACTATGTGACGGAATTCACAAGTCGTGGGCCTGGAAGCAAGCGACACGCCTGTCCATAACAGTTGCAGTGTCACTCAGAGCTTTAAAACGCAAAGATCTGAAGCGCGATGCCCGTCACCCTGAGACATAAGTTGAAAAGCACCCTTCAAAATCAGCCTTCAGGGCTCATTGAAAACCAGCGCCACAGTCAATTCTGGCTGTGGTAAAAGCTGAATGTAGTCCTTTTGCGTACGCCACGACTGCACAAATGACTGAACAATTTGTTGTTATTTTGCTTTTGTTTTTTTTTTCTTTTTTTCCTTTTTTGTTTGTTTTGATAATATTAATGTTTTCTTTTTTCATTTGTTTGTTTTACGTATGTCTATTTTGTTTATTAATTATTATTACTGTTATTATTTTTAATTTTAATGTTCATCGTACTGTGTTATAATTCATTTTTTTTTGTATCATGTGTTGTGGCGTCACAATAAATGTCTATTCTATTCTATTCTTCTATTCTAAAATCGGAACGCAGTAACGCTCATATTACTGCTTGGCGGCAGAAATAGGTAAGGTGGCAATACTTCCCGGACGAATTCTCTCACAAGGAACTCTGCTGCTACTAAATAAAATTTTTTGTTCTACGATATTACTTTAAATGATATTAAAGTACATAATAGTTATATATTTGGATGCTTTTTCAAATATTAAAAAAAATTGAATTATACATTGGTTGTATAATATCATGTAATATGTATAATTACTATAAAATTAATTTGCCCAATTTTAAATAAGTACCTCATTATCTTCTAAATGGATTACATGGAGTTACACATAACTTTTGCACTGATAGCCTCAATTATGTATACATTATAGTAGAAGACATAGAAAATAAGTTTCATAATAATTATATAAGTATAAAATATTATAATAAAATATTCATATAAAATTTCCACAATAACGTTATTATATGCATACAGTATGCAGGTCATATTATACATGTATGAAAACATTACACTATAATGTGGAAAATAAAGAATAACACTTGTCAATATTAGGTAAGAACTGCATTTATTAAGTGTAATAACATTGACTTACAATTATATGGACGTCGCTCGGGTCCGCGCTAAAAAGTGTCCGCACTTGTAAGGCGCTAAAATCGTATACAGAGCGCGACACTCCGCTTTAGTCTTCATTTGTTCTACGGACAGCGCGATACTGCGATGACATAACAATTTAAATTTCGAATAGGTTGACTTGGGACATTTTTTTCGTGGTTTTTGTATTAGACCCGTCGTCCATTTATTTGTAAGTCAATGTGTAATAACAATAATGTAATAATAAAAATGTGCCTGGTCTCAAACTAGGGAATTCCCTGTTCTATGCGTACCTACCAGAACAACGGAATTCACTCTGGGGCACCTCCCAGCACACCCAATCCAGAATCAATTCAAAAAATTCCAATTTCTAAATTGGTCCTACAGGGAATCGAACCCGGGACCGAGGAGATCCAGTGCTCACAGTGCGAACCATTGGGCCACCGAGGTTGTTTCAACGTCGTAAAAGTTTACTGACGTTCAAAAAGATGGGTACGTCAGGGTTTTCCTGCTCAAAATTATTATTTTGTATTTTAATTGTACGGACGGTAGCACATCAAGCTACACAATGACGGATGTTGTTCCGTTCCACTGGACGCATACACGAACAAAAGCGTATAGCTTGATGTGCCGTTGACTGTATGTTCTAAAATGACACATAATTGTCTATTTTTTTTTTTAAGAGAGTGGGCGTATCGGCGGCGGTTTAAAGGCCATGTACTATCTAACTAAAATACACACATCAAAAGTGTCTAGGGATCCAGCACGTTTTTGCTAATTACTGATAATCATGTTTTTTAATTAATTTTTTTGAACAACGATTGTTTTTTTTGTTAATTGTATAGCTTGAATTTGAAGACGAATAGACCAAATGACCAAAAAAAAATTCAACTGTGTAAAAAATATTATTAAAAATCTGATTTTAAGTAATTAGCATAAACGTACTTGATCCCTAGACACTTTTGATCTGTGTACATAAATTAACCAATCAAATTAATGTACTCACCTATAACTAAGAACATTTTCCCCTGCTGCATCGCAGTATAATTAAACGTGTGATGTGTAAGGAATGTGATAGTAAACTCTAACCCCGAATAAATAAATAAGTACAGTAAATAAATGACTCCCAACTTAGATAAAACTTTGTTCTGATGCTTGGAGAGATTTTTAACAGCCGTGAATTTCATCAAGTGCCAAGGTGACACAAAATCCACTGCTTTAGAGAGTGTGAACGAAAGAGGTGCTCTTTTGTCCTGAAAAAATAATGCCCATGAAAATGAATTGGTTGAAGAACCGAAAATAATAGATATAAGTATTCATGACGTTGTTAAATAAACAAGAAACAACTGTGTCTACGTTAAATATTATACAATAATGAGCAGTAAACACCACAACACCGAAGTTACAATCGAACAAAACCCGTGCAAACTACAAGTACTCCTTACAGTCAAAAGAAGTCATTGAAAAACACGCATAGAAAACACACATATTTTAACACACCCTTACCTTTTTCAAAGTCTCTGGTATGTAGAATGTTACTAATATAATATTGGCTAAGGCAAGAGCCAGGGCATAGAATGCTGGTCGTTCACCCCAACCTCCTGAAGAGATATTGCCCGTTTTCGCAAACCATGCTCCTGCTAGCGGCCCGGCCATGAAACCTATTGAGAACGCCAGTCCAATAAGAGCCTATAAAAAATGCGCACTGTTTTATTTTAAACGAAAGGTGGTTGCTATAACGAAGCAAAGCGAAACTCTTAGGTCGCCACATAGTGGGCACGTTTTATTATCGTTGGACAACTGTGGTATCTAGCCTGTTCCCATATCACGACTATCTGTCATGGACGATTTTTCATCGTTGAACGACTGTCGTGACTAGCTGTTCCCACTAGATCGTGACGACAATTTATCGTTTCACGATAGCCTCCTTGTCGTTTACACGACAGAATAGTTTTATGCACTGCAGTCGAAATGGATGAAGACGAAATTTTAATAATGTATTACTTTTTAAAAATGCGGAAGAGGAAGCAAACAAAGAAAAGAAAATATAACGTGACGTACAAAATAAAACGTGACGACAATAGGAGCTGCGACAATCTGTCGTCACGTTTTTATCGTGACGTTTTTTTTATCGTCTGACGACTGTCGTTCTAACTGCTCCCACTGTGACGACAGTTTGTCGTTGTAACGATAAAAAAATCGTGAACGACAGTTAATCGTGTCATACTACATATATACATACATAAATATAGAAGCCACGACACTGTAAACTGCACGACAATCTGTCGTCACGACATAGTGAGAACGCGCCCTTAAACCGTTTTAAGAGTGTCGCTTCGCGAGCAGGTAATAAGAATGTTGCATGGAAAATTCTGTACAACATTTGACGAGGTCAATCAATCTTTAAACACTGTGCACTGGCTGAAACCAATCACGATTTAATGGAAAAAAGAATCATACAGGACCGACGTACGCACTATCCTATTGTACAGTGTAACTAAAGTTTTATTAGATACTTTGCTAGACCTTAATAAAAAAAAGTAATTAATTTTTATTTGAAATATAATAATTCTACTTCAGTACAGTTAAGAGGTTTTCAAGCTTTAGTGTTGTAATTTGTTTTTATTTGTTGTTGAAGTTCACAAATCGAGTGAAGTAAAAGTGCGAGTGAATTATTTTTTTGGTTGGCACATGAATAATGTACATTTTTTATATTTATTCATCGCGTTTTTACCACAGGATAGCTTTAATTTCGCAAAAACATATTTTATTTGATCGAAAGTTTAAAATTTTTGTTAATTGCTTTGATTTAAAGCATAAGGGAATGATTTTGGAGGCTTTTTATAAATTTGTTTTTAAATAGAATAATCAATACTTTATGTAGGCATTAGTAGCAATTGAATTATAATAGACTATTAAATATTAATTTTACAGCATAAATCAAATACTTTTCTTTATAAACCTAAAGGACAACAATTTCGCGATTTTGTAAGAATTACCCCTTGTACAGAGATAAACAAAGTACCACAAATTGTACGTAGATAAAAGTAAGTAAATGTAAAATTGATTGTTGAACTCTGATTATCCAAGGTGTCTGGCCATTTCATTTGTACTATTTGAGTAAAAATTACAAAACATAATTGGGCATTGGTACTAAATAGATGCAAGATTTTAAATTAATAAAGATAATTTATATAATTTACCTGTATTACAGGTATCTTTATGCCTATCTCAGGCACCAGTCTCTCGCAAATAAGGTTTAATATTAAACTCATTAGTCAGTAAGCATCTTTTGTTTAAACTATTCACCTTGTATGTTGAGAGAAAATAAAATAAATTATTATTATTATTATTATAAAGTTTTTAAAGCAAGCTAACCATCCACACGTTTGATATGGACATAGTGCTGATGTGCGCAATAATAAAATTATAAGGGTAAAAATATTCTCACCATTCCTCTGGCTCTGGTCTTTGTATTAGAAGCATCAGTAACCACTGCCATACTAAGGCTGACATTGGCTTTGCTGAGACCCCCAATAAACCTTGCTAGGACAAATATGCTAAAGGTACGCGCGTAGCCCCATAGTGCGTGAGATAGGGCTATGCCTGTCTGAAATAGAATAATCTTGTTATATATGATACTAACAAATTAAGCATACAACTACCAAATTAGGTAAGGTAGTAGAGAATGTTAAAGTATTGTAGATAAATCTAAAAAATAAAAAATATACTTTTAAAACTAATTTACACACTTTTTTGGCTACCTATCTATTTAGACTTCAGTCCAATTTTCTACAAGAAAGCTGTAGATTATATTTCTAAGTTCATTCTATTATAAAAATAAACTAGTCTGTATGAAAAATTGTAGTTTTTTATGAATAATATATTTTGAAAATTTTGTGATAAAAGTTTGTTTGTTGTTTGTTTGACTAAGTAAAACTAGCTAATAAAATATTTTATAAAGAAGGCTGAAAGGTGTGTAACCCTATGAAATGCTTATAGAAGATAATAATGAGGAATTTAAAATTAGCCAAATTCATTAATAAACATTAATCATAAATAAAGCTACAAATCTTGACTCGCTTAGAAAAAAAGAACGCATAATTCCCGATATGGTGGAAAAAAGATAAATATTGTGCACTTTTACAACTTTTGTGCGTTCGTTGGCGGCGGAAAAAAAATTGCTCAGATGCCTTTGAAAATTGGTATGTGGAGGTGTCTAGGAGTGTCTGACAAAAATTAGTGATGAAAATTAGTTTTTCGCCATTTTCAAATACGGCCGCCATAGAAGCATTCGTTGACGGCAGATAAAAATTTGCTCTAATTGGACTGAAAATCAGCATATGGGGTCTCTATGTTTGTTTGATAATAATTTGCAGTCAAAATTTATTTTTCGCTATTTTTCAATGGCTGCCATACAAATTTTTTTTGGCGGTAGATAAAAATTTGCTCTAATTGGACTGAAAATAGCATGGCTTTAATCATACTTCAAGATGAAAATTGGCACAAAAAGATTTCTAGGATTGCCTGACTATAATATTTTGTGGTCAAAATATATTTTTGTAATTTTTAAATATGGCCGCCATTAAAGAGCTAATATCATTCTTTTAAATAAACTCATAAATGCCGAGGCCGTAGGCCGAGGTCCAGCGAAGGGCGAAACCCGAAGCGTCCGTACTCTACCGTAAACAGGTAGGTAGTATATGGAGGCTCTAAAATGAGTACGAGATCTCAAAATGATTAAAAATGTAAGGCATACTTCCCAATGTAGTGGAAACGAGATACTAATAGCGTTGTTGTATCTCGACCATGTCTGTGTTAAATTCCTTTTTCTTGGAAGCTTTGCCAAAGAGAAGTATTTAGGGGAAAAAATGCCAGACAAATAACCCAAATTTTGTGCTCTCAAACTAGGGAGTATCCTGTACCATAATACCAGAATGACGATAACTCTGAGGGCAATACCCAGAAAAGAACGGATTTAAAAATCTTTGTTTCTAAATTGGCCCAAATCGGAATTCAAACCCGGAACCTCCTCATCAAGCGCCCATAGTATTAACCGCTGTACCACAAAAGAGCATAAGCACACCGCGAAATCGAAGCCCGACCACGAGCCGCTGGCGGAACCCGACCCCACCGCGGGTGGGGTACAGGCCCAGTTTATATTAGTATATACTAATCATAAACATGAGCAATATATAATTATAAATTTTTTTTATGCATGAAAATAGTGCAGCATCCAAATAATAAGTAATATTGTTGGAAAAAAAATTAAATATGGTAATACTACTTTTGGACTGATAGCCTCAATTTTTAAATATGGTTAGGTCAGTTAGGTGTTTATGTTACTGTTTATAAATAATTTAAAAAATACTAATACATCATGAAAGTTAATCTGATAAAGATTTGTTTACCAGCTAATGCAATAACTGACTGTAATTAAGTTAGAAACAGAAGTTTTGCAATATTTTGCCTCATGAAAGTGCAAAGGAAGGATGTTTTCAAGCAACAACCTTCAATTTAATTGATTTATTTGTAATGGTTTTACTATACTTCTATTATTATCATAATATTTAATGATATGGTAATAAAAATTTTTAATACTTTTAAAAATGTAAAAACATGCAGCCCTAGTAATAGTGTTGTGAGCAAAGATAAAATTTAAATGTGACATATGGATTGACATATATTCATTCAAAACTATTCAATAGCAATATAGGCTCAGATAGACAATCTACTTAGATATTGTTACACTATGTAACTTATTATTTAGCCCATGTTATACTTAGCCTTCAACAAACCAGTAAAATATATTTCTAATATTCTTATTCTCATTTAAATAAGATGTAATGATGGCTAGTTATCTAATAACTTGTTTAGTATTTGTAAAGTGCATGACCCAAAATTAAGAACCTGTTTACTTAAGAAATGGTCATGATCAATAATTAGGTGAAAAAATAAGTAAAAAGGAAAGAGAAAATCTCACCAAACAAATCAAAAGCATAGGTTTTCTTCCATATGCATCTGAGAGACTTCCAACAATAGGGCTAGTTAAAAATTGAAGGAAACTATACATGGAGCCGAGGGCCCCTCCGAATAACACCGATGCGAATCGGTCCGGCGCCCCTGTCCACCGTTGGAACCCTTGCACAGCCTTAAGAAGAGTAGCGTATAAACCATTGCCTTTTCCTTCCTCTTTATCATAATAATCCATAAGTGATGGCAGCAGGGGCAAAATCATCGTAAACGCCAACAAATCCAACAACAAAGATACAAAAACTAATCCAATAATCTTTGAATTAGTCGCCGAAACTTTTTCAACCTTCTCGTTCAACCCATTTTTGGTTTTTAATTCGTAACTCTTGTTATCCGCGGCAGATTTCCTATGTTTAAGTTCTTCATTATCTTGTGGTTGAGTCTAAAAAAAATTAAAAAATATTCGTGACGAAATATTGTAAACAGGCTGTGGCTGTATTCATTTGCTTATACGACGAACATAACATAAACTTACCATCATGTTATTTCTTAACTATTTAATATCTTTATTGAGAACCATCTGCAACTGTCGATACGTCTACAATGTTATAAATAACTTTAAATAAAAATAAAGAAACACTACTCACTAAAACTTTCACTTTGACTGACTGACTCGACTGACTGCCTTAGGGATATTCGTTGAACATCGATGTATCGAATCCATTCGATGTTTATAGTACGGTACATATCGGATTGATACGATGTTGTGACAAGAAGAAGTTCTAGTCGATGCATCGACATTTTTAATAAAAACATCGAATCATAGAAAAGGCTAACACTAACTTGCCTCTGTGTTAGTGTTAGCCTTTGTGTCTTCAATTTAATATTGTAAGGGTCGTATTCTAGAACTCTACTCAATGCTCAAGTCAGGATTGCACTGGAAATACAAGCACTGGAAATACGACCCTAATGACAAGGACTTGAGTATGATTTTCAGTGCTCACTGCAATTCTCAAGTCCTGACTTGAGTATTGAGTAGAGTTCTGGAATACGACTCTAAGTCATTTAGGGTCGTATTCTAGAAGTCTACTTAATGCTCAAGTCAGGATTTGAGTATGTTTTAAAGCACTCGATATCATACTCAAGTCCCTGCTATTACGGCTCGTATTTCCAGTGCTTGAAATCATACTCAGATCCTGACTTGAGCATTGAGTAGAGTTCTGGAATACGACACTTATGTCCACTTGCACTAAACCTAGGTACGTCTTAAACCAATAATTGCAATGCAAAAGACACTCTTAATACATTGTGTTAAGAGTGTCTTATCAATTTAAGCATAGGTTTAAGACATACTTAAGTTTAGTGCAAGTGGACATGAATGTTTGTTTTATGTGCATTTATAATCCTAGCTTATTTCCTTCTTCCGTGAATGAATAATTGAATATGTATCGAACTTATTTGTATATTTTAGACAGTTTACCTAATCGCAAAAAACATACCCACAATTATTCTTGCGTAAAAACATTTCTATTAATTTGCAGTTTTTTTTTCACCTATAAATGTATGTCTTACCGATGCAATACTATTTTTTTAAGTTTAACCAGTGCTACTAAACTAACACACAGTATCATGAAATTAAACACCTCACTACAGCGACAGCGACACTCTATTGGTATAGTATTACTCTACGTTCACTGTTAATCTAAGAAAAACAAAAAGTATTCGATGTTGAAAAAACATCGATGTTTTTAAGCGATGCTTTTAAATACATCGATGCAATGTTTCGATGTTTTACAGCGAATGAAGACATCGATGTATTTTTTAAGTGGACACCCCTAGACAGACTTATGGACTTATGTTGAGAGTGTTGCCAACAACGCTGAGTCCAATGTTGTTATTTTTCACAACCGTAACGTAACGTAGCCGAATTTTAGCTGTGGTATGGTGGTAGCCTAAAGTAGCCTAAACACCAAATGAAAAACAATAATAAATAAAATAAAATCGTAGTTTAAATCAATAATACATTAAAACTAAAAATGAAACCTAAGTAGAATCAAATAAAAGTGAATAAATTTATATAATGGGGTATGTAATTCGGTTTTGATAGCTATAGCTATAATTTGTCACTTTGTCAGTGATTTTGTAAACAAACAAAGTCTTTTAAGAAATAATTTTCTATTATGACCCTCTAAGCAGCAGTCGATTGCAAAAATACGGGAATATATTTATTCCCCAAAGAACTGAAAAGAAGAAAACTGCGGGAAAAAGATATTCGAAGGAAAAATTTTAAGGCTACTAATTCGTTGAGGTTATGTGTGAAGATAGGTTAGGCTGAAGTTTTGTAAAACAAATATCATGTATTCCTTTTCATTCCTGACACTGCTATCATTAATACTTATGGCGTGATTCTACTAGTATTTGTCATCATTTATTAATTTATTTTTAACTGTTTTAGGTGATGAATTGAAGAAAACTGCTGTGCTCTCTATATTTTCTTTTACCAAAGTCACTCCAGTCAATTTATTAGCACAGCAAGCAAAGTTCAAATATATTGCTAAAGAGGAAATAAACTTTATTTTGAAACGTTTAAAACTTAATTTATTAGATTTCGCGGGAAATTCCCGCCGAAACTGACTAACCATAAACAATTTTTACGCTCATTTTTTATTCTTAAGATTGTAAACAGAAAGTAGCCTGATAGATGACCAGCCGCCTTTCAGATTTTTTCATCGCTAATTTTTGTCCTGAGTAACCTAAATGGGGATAGATCGCCTACGCTGGCCACTCTGTTAATAAACATCCATGTTCCAGACCGCAATACTCATTAGTTGTAAACCAACGATTCTCGGTGCTTTTTAATTTAGTAGAATAATATGTCAGTCACCTTTTTTTTTTCATTTGGATGGCATAGATACTTGCTTATAAACAAATAAAAAATTTAACATATTCAACTTATGAAACAACATGAATGCCTACAGACTTAAACCTTAGAGGATGGAAAGGACTAAACTAAACTTCTATGGTACGAAAGAAACCAAAGAGTACTTTGATACATAAGAAACTTACGAAAATTATTTACAAAAAAATAAAATAAATAGAAATAGGATACCTGTAATCATTGTAATTATTATCGTATGTTTAGTTTCAGAACGCAGCAATGCACCATTGCAATTTTTTGTCGGAATAAAACGCTGGTCAAAATTTAGAGCAAGCTAACGTTACATCACATTCCAGTGTTATTATTTCTTTCTCGATTGTTATATGCGCAGTGTACGAAGAACAAGCGTAATCGTTTCTGCAAAGCTTCTTGTTTCTTGTCGGCTTCCTTGCTTGTGGCGAATGTGGCGACGCCATTTTGCGTGTGATATTTTGGTTTTCCTGTTGAGTTTTATCGTGATTTGAAGTTATTTGACTACGATTTTGTAAAATGGGTGAAGATAAAGGTATTTTTATAAATGTTTTGATAAAATTATTGAGTTGTATTTAATGTTTACGGAAATGCGTACTGCATACATTACAGACTAAAGTACTGTCCTTTCGTTTGTAGATCGACGCCGTAGATCTCGATCTAGGGAGAGAAGGCGATCCAGATCGCGCTCGAGAGGAGAGCGTAGGGAGAAGAAAAGGAGCAGGTCCAGATCACAATCGAAGAGATCTCGTCGTCGCAAGCCTTCTTTGTATTGGGATGTACCGCCTCCGGGTTTCGAACACATCACGCCGTTGCAATACAAGGCGATGCAAGCCGCTGGTCAAATTCCGGCTAACATAGTGGCTGACACACCGCAAGCGGCCGTGCCAGTAGTTGGATCTACAATAACAAGACAAGCACGAAGATTGTATGTGGGAAATATTCCTTTCGGCGTCACTGAAGAAGAAACTATGGAGTTTTTCAACCAGCAGATGCATCTATCTGGTTTGGCACAGGCTGCTGGCAACCCAGTATTGGCTTGCCAGATTAATTTGGACAAAAATTTTGCATTCCTGGAGTTCCGTTCAATTGATGAGACCACACAGGCTATGGCGTTTGACGGTATCAACTTCAAAGGACAGAGCTTGAAGATACGGCGACCTCACGACTACCAACCAATGCCTGGCACTGAGAATCCAGCTATTAATGTGCCAGGTTACAAACCTATTTCTCTTTTATACAGTCAACAGCATGTCAAGTTTACACTTTTGTTCAAATCCAGAGCAACGGAACAAGATCAATGTATACATAGCTTGATATGCTGCTGACTACATTCATATACTTTTTTTTATAGTAAAAGATATGCTAATGCTTTAAAGGCTGAAAAAAAAAAATTAACTATTTTTATGTACTTTGATAATCTGTTAGCGAGCTAGCTTCACATATCAAAGATTTTGTAGTTTTCTTATTTATTTGACAACATTTGAACAGTGTGTGGTTAAATTAAGCTCTTATTGCTTACCTTGGTGAAAGCAGAAGCATTTAACTATTTTCATTTTCTTTCAGCTGGTGTTATAAGTACAGTAGTTCCAGATTCTCCTCACAAAATTTTCATAGGTGGCCTTCCAAACTATCTCAATGAGGACCAAGTAAGACTTCTTTATGTATTTCATATCAAATCTGAATGTACTGTGAAACAATAATTCATTTTTCTGCAGCTTTTTATACTTAGCATTTTGTAATAAAGTTTAATACAATGTAAGTATAATAGAAATTATTGTTTTATAGTAAATATTACCTTAAAATCTGATTATTGAAGGTTTATTTCACTGATACATAATGCACAGATAAACAATTTGGATACAGTGCAGTTGGTATAGATATCCTTTGTTTTCATGTTTTATCAATGTGAATGTTCTTTTTTCTGTGCAGCTAGTACTACCAGTTCCTATGCTACAAAAATAATCCATATAATTGATTCACAGTTGTCGGAAAATATGTTTCAACATGTGCACATTAGCAATTTGTGTAAACATACTTTGTCTCATTTGAATAGCTATCAGACCACTGTGGACCATGTATTTAGGAATATATGATTTGTAAAACAGGTTTTGATTTTGCAAAATTATATTTTCCAGGTCAGTAAGCCAGACTTCACAATGTCTCCATATACTGACTATATTTGAGATTTTCATAGCTTTCCAAACAGGCAATGCAAGCAACACTACTTACCCATTAGAATTCAAACATTGGCAAGTCTACCTTTGTACATTTTCACTTTCTTACGAAAATCAAATACCGTATATTCTCCTTCATTCAAAGACGTTCTCTCTTGCCCTTAGACCTTATTACTTTCTTGTACAAAGGTGACACTCTTAGGGATATTTTCAACTTTAGGCATACACAAGAAGCACAGATTGCTAGCCAAGCTAGTTCCCATAAGATAGCCTAGGAGCCGCAACCATTTCAGGGCGAGATTCAACAGTTGACAGGGGTTCGGTGCAGCCAGCAGTGAGACGCGTTGTATTTTGGTCCGTTTCAGGTATTTTCAGGTACCCATATCGAGGCGAGCGTGCGCGCTGCACGCTCAGCTTTAATTAAAACAACTCACTGATAGTTTGCTTTCTGCCCCTCCCTAGCTTAGATTTGGCACATTCGCGGCCCGCGTGTCACTGTTGTCTCTCATTCTCACCTATACGTCTTGTACTTGAACGAGACGTCGGCACTTCAAGGCAAGTCTCCTCCATTCACATCTGATTTTAACATGCGGCTAGACACAGGTCAGATAACATTCATTAATATGTTTGCTGCATTTTGATGAGCAAATGAAACGGGAACACTAAGAGTTACGATTGAAAATATTAACTGTATGAGAGAAAAAGAACATAGTACTAAAAAATGTTTTGTTCAGAAGTGTGAAATTGTAGCTCTCGCTAATTTATGTGCAATGTGGAAAACAGGTGAAAGAATTGCTGATGTCATTTGGTCAGCTACGAGCATTCAATTTGGTGAAGGATTCTTCTACTGGCTTGAGTAAGGGTTATGCCTTTGCTGAATATGTGGACATTTCAATGACTGATCAGGTATGTACTTCCATATGATGGTACTAAACTTACTCTAGCAGATTGTGGGTCACAGTATTGCTAGTGGGAATGTTTTACTGAATCAAAACTATTTGATTTCTACAGGCTATAGCAGGTCTGAACGGAATGCAACTGGGTGACAAGAAGCTGATTGTTCAACGAGCTAGTATTGGTGCCAAGAACTCTACACTAGGTAAGGCCTCATATAAGCAATTACGCGTATAACTTAATTTTTATTAAGTGAGTAGTAAGTAACCCATCCTAAAAAAGAATTCTCAATTTTTTTTTTATTAAATTTATAATAATATGTTTGTAGCAATGACTGGAGCGGCTCCAGTTCAACTTCAAGTGGCCGGATTGACGCTGGCGGGCGCTGGACCTCCTACAGAAGTGCTATGCCTTCTGAACATGGTCACACCAGACGAATTACGGGATGAAGAGGAATACGAGGACATTCTTGAAGATATCAAGTCAGTATTGGTTACCATATTTGTTCAAACGGTTAAAAACTTTTAGTTATATTTTATTTCTAATAACCAATGATCAGAATTGAGGGAGTTAATTTAGCTAAACTAAAGAATATCGTAGACTTCACTTCTACATATCCCTAGACTTTTTGGAACTGATTATATTTGCATATGCGAATTATGTATTTAAAAACATTGGCATCAAATTATTATTTTCTATTAAGTAATATCAAATAAATTAATACATAAATTATTGTCTCAAAAAATAATATTGTACTTGTTTGTATTTAAATATTTTAGCCATTTAAAAAAATATATTTTGTACACATTGATAATGAAAGGGCATACCCCTTAATAAAATATATTCATACTAAGAAAATGTTCATACTGTAGGTAAAATAACTCTCTCAATTCCGATCACTGCTAATATGCTAATAAACCTAAAAATGTTGTTTTCCAATTTTCAGGGAGGAATGCAACAAGTACGGCGTTGTACGCAGTATAGAAATTCCCAGACCAATAGAGGGTGTTGAAGTACCGGGATGTGGAAAGGTAACTACGTACATTGCTTATACACAATTATGATGAAATAACATTATAAGATTCAATATAGAACTATTACGCCTTTCTTCTATGAGCAATCGACTAAACATTTACAGAGCAATTTCATTGAAACTTTTTGCTGTAAAAAATCATTCGATGTACGAGATTTGTCTTGTGTTATGATTTTATTCCATAGTATATTTAGGTAATATTAGTGATACTGTTTATGCTTTTATTCCATGAGAAACTTGTACTGCAGGTTGTTTGGCACAAAATTAAAGAAGAAATACCTTTGTTTTGGTTTTTTTGTTTTTTTGGTTTCAAACTCAACTACCTAAACACATTGGATTGGCGTATAGACAATGTTGTAATATAAAATGTTGAATATTTGCAGGTATTCGTAGAATTCAACAGTATTGCAGACTGTCAAAAGGCGCAACAAACCCTAACTGGGCGCAAATTCAGCAACCGTGTAGTCGTAACGTCGTACTTTGATCCAGACAAATATCATCGCAGAGAATTCTAAAATTCTTACCCTTTTTAAATCTACCCTTTCTTGTCATTGTTAGTTCATATAATTTTCGTGACATGTTCATTAATGAATTTTATGACAATCCATCTCTAATGTATTTAACACAACTAAGAATAAAGATGTAATTATGTCTTAAATATATGTTTTATTTGAAACTTTTAATTATTACTTTCAAAACATTATTTTTTTTTACTTTTGCTAACAACACAGGTTATTAAAAGTTCTTGAAGTATGTACTGTGATAAGCCAATCATATTGTGAAATAGTACATAATGTCACAAGGGCGGTAAGTAGACAATTACGAACAGAAGGACATCAAAAATTTCTTTAATGGCATGAACGTTTGTAATTGGTACTCTGGCATACACATAATGAGAAGAAAATAGGCCCGAGGGTTTTATTTGGGGCATTATTGTCAAGTTAGCCTGCTTGCAATCACACTATTTACGTGCAAGTGTGATGAAATAGCACATTGTGTATTAAGCGAATTACGAACGAACTATTAGAATTCCGAAGTCAAAGATTGAGGGCTATCGGAGATGGGTCGTTTTCAGATAATCTCCAAAAATGTGTCCCTTTTAATAACTTTTATGTTATTACATGAATGCTAAGCATTATTTATTTAATATGATTGCTTGCTTACTTAGTCCGTGTTACACATAAAAAGACTACTTTAACTACGTCACAGTAATAAATGAAACTAAAGTGAACAATTTCTCATTCATGGGAGCCGGCTCCACGTCCTAATTTTAATAAAAGAAGAAAAAATCAAACACTCGGAAATCGCAATATTTGCCATCAAGGATAAACTCTAATAACTTACACGTCGAATACATACCGTAACTTTCCAATTTATTATAAACAAACATGTTTTCTTGGGAATACAAAATGTGTTTCAATTTTTCTTATCATTAGTGTCCATTCAACTAAAAACCTCCTAATAACAAAAGTTCATACCGCATCATCTTCACCCTTCGCACACGTGAGAAGGGGCTCTTGTCGGATTGGACTGTACACAGTGAAGTAACCTGTCCATCTCCGTTTTAGCAAAAAATCGACTAAATATCAATTTCAGCGTTAGTGACTAAATCGTTCTCATTCATGTAAAGCTATCTACCTAATTAAATATTAAGTAATACTTTTATAAACTTGATTGTACATCAATTAGATAAAGGGAACTTTAAAATCCATGCACTTTTATAATAGCCCAACATATTTTACACACTTGACAATTAAAAATGTATCCAAATATCATTATTGTCGCTCTCATTCTTGTCTATTTTTAAGTCAAATAGTTGCTTTAAGCCAAACATTTACTTGAAATATAACAATTAGATGGTGATAGTGGCGGTGATGACGGTGGTGACGATGATGATTGTAGTAATGATGACGATGATTGTGATGAAGATGTGAATGGTAATGATGCTGATGATAATGGTGATCATGATGACGATGTTGATGGTGGCGATGATGATATATTGATGTACAACAAAGTTTATATGACATTAACAAAATACTTAGTAAGATTTATTTATTAATTACATATACAGGGTGTCCCAAAAATCACAGGTCAAACTGACACCGGAGGTAGGTTGGTCCAAGAGGTACCGAACCAACCTAACATGACCCCAGTAAAAGTTGGACGGTTTTCGAGATATTGCAAATTTAATGTTTTTTTCGAACTTGTCCCTTTTTTTACATCTTAAGTTCCGTAATTAGTTTGGACAGCTCTTGGACTATAATTTTTTCATTGTTACTCTATCATAAATAGTTAAGTTTAATAATACCAGTGTTATTTTGTTAAAAACGAATGTGAGATACGAATGAAACGCAATTGATTGTAAAATAAATGACCAGCAATAACAATAAGTTAGCGTTTGGCCACCTGCCCTGAAAAAAAAACACTAGATCGTACATCAAATAACTACCTTGAAAAATTGCGTATGTTATGCCGATTTCAAAAAGGTATAATACTTGGTGGTTAATCTGATAAATGGAAAGATTTTGTCACTACTTGTCAATGTGCCATTAAACTTGATAAAATGTAGGAACCACGTTAGTAGCCGCTTTTTGGTGGAAATAATATCGTACGTTGTTGTTTCTGATTTGTAACGTGGTTTCTGTATTATTCACCCCCTTCACTATTGGAAAATCCACATGAGAAAAGAGAGGATCGGTCACAGTATCAATTTAAAATAAATTTGTGGTCGGGAATTTTGAACGGCCAAATAATAGGACCGATTGAGTTGCCAGCGATCCTAAACGGACGAAATTATCTCCAATTTCTGGAAAATGGTTTGCCTACTTTGTTAGAAGACACGCCATAGGCTTTGACACGAAGGATGTGGTACCAGCAAGATGGTTGCCCGGCACACTACGCACGCCAGGTCCGCCAGCACCTGGACGCCACGTTCCCTCAGAGATGGATTGGGCGATTGGGGCCAATTTTATGGCCATCCCGGTCCCCAGACTTAAATCCAATGGACTTTTTTTACTGGGGATTTTAAAGGACAGAGTCTATGCAAAACCGATCAGATCCGAAGAGGAATTACGGCGACGAGTTTTCGAGGCAGCCCACAGCATTTCTGATATGAATTTAAGAAGATTAGGACGAAACTTCATTAGACGATGTTTCTTGTGTGTTCGGGTCAGAGGACGCGTATTTAACATTTATTGTAAAATATTTTTAATTTTAAAATACATTTATGAAAGTTATACTGTTTTTGTTATTTTTAGATTTTAGTCAGCAAATTACCACCATCCTAAGTTTCAAAAGCAAGTCAGTTATTATTATTAATACAAAGATCGAACACTCAGAAAAAATTCCTTCGATCCGGTCGGATTTTTTTCTGAGTGTTCGATCTTTGTATTAATAATTATAACAAACTAGTGGAGTAATTTCACAAAAAATAATTGAATATCAATTCAATAAAAATTTAATTAAGTCAGTTATTATTATTTCCAACTTGTTATTTCGTAAACAGGGGGTGAATAATACAGAAACCACGTTACAAATCAGAAACAACAACGTACGATATTATTTCCACCAAAAAGCGGCTACTAACGTGGTTCCTACATTTTATCAAGTTTAATGGCACATTGACAAATAGTGACAAAATCTTGCCATTTATCATTTTTAGCATCAAGTATTATACCTTTTTGAAATCGGCATAACATACGCAATTTTTCAAGGTAGTTGTTTGATGTACGATCTAGTGTTTTTTTTTCAGGGCAGGTGGCCAAACGCTAACTTATTGTTATTGCTGGTCATTTATTTTACAATCAATTGCGTTTCATTCGTATCTCACATTCGTTTTTAACAAAATAACACTGGTATTATTAAACTTAACTATTTATGATAGAGTAACAATGAAAAAATTATAGTCCAAGAGCTGTCCAAACTGATTACGGAACTTAAGATGTAAAAAAAGGGACAAGTTCGAAAAAAACATTAAATTTGCAATATCTCGAAAACCGTCCAACTTTTACTGGGGTCATGTTAGGTTGGTTCGGTACCTCTTGGATGAACCTACCTCCGGTGTCAGTTTGACCTGTGATTTTTGGGACACCCTGTATATAGATAGATGGTCTTACACGGATGAGAAGGATTTTGATACAAGGAATTAGAAACGTACGTTTGTTTGAAAAAACAAATATACGCGATTTAAATCCGGAAAAATAGTTTCATTTACTAGGAGTTATATTAAAATATTTGTTATATGTTAAATGTTCTTTTGTGAACGATAAAATGTGTTGTAATAATAATTTCTCATTACTGTGCCGTCTATCTCATTTGTGTTTATGAGAAAATCATTCGTGTTACTGCAATCTCATTCGTGTGACTTAAAATATCGGGGTTTTTTTTTGTTTGTTGTATTTAACTTAAATATTTCTGTGATTTTATAATTATTGACGTTGCTTGAACTTATTTGTACGTTTAAGACCTTAAAACCAAAAGAAAAGGGTTTTACAAAAATCACTTAAAAAGTGCCATAGAAATTCGGAAAGTGAATTTCACCCAGTTAAGGTTCGTAATTCCGTACCGCCCGTTTTTTCATCACACTTGCACATAAGTAGTATGATTGCATGCAAGCCAACTTGACTATAATGTCCCAAATAAAACCCTCGGGTTTTTCTTATTCATGTTTTTCATCGCTCTTGCGAGGAAGTAGGAAAAAAAGGAAAATCAGAATTAAATTTATTCATGTATGTAATGTATACAAGTTTGTATATTTAGATACTTAAAACTTTGTAAATGAATAAACTATAACGTAATTAAAATCTAATATCCTTTTTTTTTTCCTCGAAGTATGATGAAAAACATTGTAAGCACAGTAAGCCAATATCCTTGTGTTCGTAGTTGCCTAATTACCACCCTTGTGACAAAATGTATGCACTACTATTTTTTTCTACAACTACAATTATATAATCTCCGATATTTTTATTTATTTTTATTTATTTATTTTAAACACTAAGAATATTACAAAAATATATATACATCACACCCTTAAACCTACATTGGTTTGTCCGGGTGCTGTACGTTCTCCTTAATTACATCTTAATATTACATTCTTATATTTAATAAGCTAACAAAAGATTACAAATCTCAATTAGAAATTACATGTTTCATTGTTATACTACTACATTTATTTATTTATTTATTTATTTATTTTTTTTTTTTTTTTTTTTTTTAGGTGTGTTATTCTTAATACTTCTATACTAAAGGCGTTCGCTGCCTGTGCGTGTTTGCCATAAATGTTGATTCAACAAAACCAATTGTAGTAGAAATCCGCGGACGCCCTAAAATGTAAAAAGCATATTATTTTCGTATTCAAACTTCTTCAGCCTGCATCGCTGGTTGATAGGTATTCATAGACCCCGTCTCCGCAGAAAGTACGAGTTTACGCATCACTACGTAGAGTATTCCGCCAACGATAAGCATTCCTATGCCTGCCATCAAACTAATTGCCCAAGCAGGTACCGCATTGCCATCTGTAACGTTACGTAGGGAAATATTTTTGTAAACAACTGCTTTACGTAGTTGATTCGATTGATATACAAGTTTTGACAAACAAAATGTATAGAGAAGATAGTACGGTGTACAAATATTCAAAGAGCAACTGGCGGCCTTATTGTCCTTCCAGATAACGTTTAAGTAAGGTAAGTACCTAAGTCTAAAAGTTATATTTTAAAGATAGGTAAATGTGTGGATGCTTACGGTAGTAATTACGTGTCATTACACGCCTGCCTCTGAGAATTTTTCTCCTTGCCTCAGCCTCCTGTGTCAGGGCGCTGAGTACAACTGAAAAATAAAAAAAAAGATGAAGTTTAGTCGTTCTATTTATAAAAGCTACTATTGAAACAAAATTTGTATTGAATTGATATTCAATTATTTTTTGTGAAATTGCTCCACTAGTTTGTTATAATTATTAATACCAAGATCGAACACTTAGAAAAAAATCCTTCGATCCGGCCGGTTTGAAACCGACGTCTTCTAGCAAACCGTGTCAGACGCTATGCCAACTAAGTCACGGAACGAAGCAGCGGACCTTACGAATTTTTCTGTACTTGTTTCTCGAATCTTTGTATTTGGTTTTCCGTAATCCGGCCGGATCGAAGGAATTTTTTCTAAGTGTTCGATCTTTGTATTAATAATTACTCTTGAAACTGTCATGATTTTAGAGCGGCGAGTATAAACTCATACAATTTGTTACACTTAACAAACGAAATGTTAGTTTTAAAAAACCATTCTTCCTCATTCACTTCGCTAAATTGTTAGGTACTTATTCGAAATAATATGACGCAAAATTAGAATAATGAGGTCATAACACCTCATTTACGACATTAGGAGCACCATAATAAAAATCCTTTGTTTAAATTCGTATCGTAACTTTACTACACTCGTCACTGCCAACATAATTTGAATTCCACTTACCCAGTACTACAGCCAAATAAAACATAAAAGACTTCCTTTGCGCCATTTTAAAATAATTATCAACACTTCACAACAAAAATTTGTAAAAGAGCTTGCTGAATGAAGTCAAATTCAATGACACACTGGCCATACGCAGCAGAATCTAGGTGTGTTAAGTTAGCTTATCAGAAAGATAAGATACGGCTCCTGATTACTAATATGTATGTGTTGTGGGTGTCCGTATATTATAAACAAGGATATGAGTCAAATAGCTAATCTATCGTAGTTCATAGAATTTTTGAAATGCTTTAAGAAACTCTTTCAAATAAGCGTGTATGTGCAAATAGAATAGAACCTTTTTGATAATATTTATAAATGCTACGCCATACGCTCTCTGTAAGGCCGGGGCCACACTGGTACGGCGACACCGACGCGAAAAAATATGTGGCCGCCATCGAGTATATACCCAGAAATAGAGACGAAATAAGGGCCATATATTCCACTTAAACTTTAGCGATACAGCTCTTATAAATATCAACTCTCGTTTGCACTGAAATATAGACAGTCCAGTCAATTGCTTCTGCAAAATCTTGCAATATGCTGACGATATCGCCCTGTACGCTTGTTCCAAATCTTTTTCAGATACTGAAAGACGCCTCAACTCTGCCCTTTTTTACCTAGACTCTTGGCTTACCGATCACGGCCTCTCTCTTTCAGCTAACAAAAGCACAGCTGTCGTTTTTTCCCGCAAGAGACGCCTTCCTGAAACTGAAATACATGTTAATGGGGAAAACATAGAACTGAGGGAAAAAGTAAAATTTTTAGGCATTATTTTGGACTCAAAATTATCTGGCATCCATCACCTCAACTATATTTGTCAAAAAGCTGAAAAAAGCATAAATGTCCTACGTGCACTTTCTGGTGTTCGTTGGGGATCACATCCGTATAACCAAAAGCTCCTGTACAACGCAATCATTAGAAGTCATTTTGATTATGGCGGCTTCCTTCTGGAACCATGCAACAAAATAGCCTTGGCTAAGATGGACAGAATCCAGGCAAGATGCCTGAGAATAATCACAGGTACAGGGTCAAGAGCACGTCAAGCTTGACACTTAAGACGTAAAGCCAACTTTATGCCGCTCACGACAAGAACGGTTCAAAGTACAAAGTGTCAAGCTTGATGTGCTCTTGACTGTACCATGAAATCCTCACCAACAAACGCTCTTCAAGTCGAATGTCTGGAGCCCCCTCTACATCTACGTAGACAATTCCTTGCTAATAGATTCCTCTTCAAGATCTTTCAATATTCTTCTCACCCTTTGCTTCCCGTATTGCAATCCTTGTCGGAGATTATCCCTTCCTCCAATTATTGGTCACACAAGAAACCCCCCCTTCTTATCAACAGTTTTAACAAAATTTCCAATCTCCCATTCCCTATTTACCAAAATTATATGAACCCGTTGTTTGAAACTGATTTTAAATGGTTAACGTTTCGCCCAACAGTATATCTTAGTTTTGGCATCATGAAAGATACCCCTGGAGCAAACCAAGTCTTCAACGATATAGTTGAGAGAGAATGGCATGACTGGACTACTGTTTTTACCGACGCTTCAAAATTACACGAACATGGCGACTTGGGAGCCGCGGTTTGGTTCCCCAAGTTCAATGTCGTACTCAGTTTTAAATCCCCCTATCTGAATTCGGTCTTTTCGGGAGAGGCAATTGCAATACTCGAAGCCATTTTATATATTGAGTCCCATAAAATTAATAAATGTTTGGTTTTCTCAGACTCACTAAGTTGCCTCCAAGACATTATTAAGCTACCGTTTCATTCCAAAGACAATTTCTCCATCACCCTCCAAATTAAGGAAGCTCTGTACCGATGTCATTGTGCGGGAATTGAGGTAACTCTGGCCTGGATTCCCGGTCACAGTGGGATTAGTGGCAACGAAGCAGTAGACGCCTTTGCAAAGGATGCGACAAGAATTGGCGTATGCAAATACTGTAAGTGCTTTCCCAGAGATCTGCTCGCCATGACCAAACCCCAAATGCTAGCCTCCTGGTCGGTCCTTTGGCAGGAATCACGACAAACTGTTGGTAGACACTATGGTAACCTCCAACCAAATCTACCCACTAAACCCTGGTTTTTTAAACGTCGCGATTTGCCTAAAAACATCACTTCCACTATTATTCGTTTGCGCTTAGGTCATGTTTGCACACCTGTATTTTTGCGTAAAATCAGAGTTCGAGACCACTCTCTGTACGAGTGCGGCCTAGAAGACGGTACCTTGGAACACATTTTTTTCAATTGTCCTAATATTGCTGTTCCACTTTATAACTTACTTTCTCCAAAATTCCCCCGCCCCATTAACATAAACAACCTCTTAACTTTAGTGTTTTCCCCCCATATTGTTACTCTATGTAAATTTATCCACTTAAATAACATATATTTATAAATATTGTTTTGCTGTTTGGTCTTACATTCTCAACTGAGTACTCCCGTAGTCCAACTTACCAACACCGGTTAATGTCCTATTAGAGCTTAGCGAAAATTTTTCTTTGTTTCGTTTTTTTTCTTTCAACTGTGACATTGGCAAAATCATCAGTTCTCATATTGATGGAGCCATAAAAATAAAAAGTGAAGTATAGCAAAGCTCAAGTTAACTAGTCGATTTGAAGTGAAACAGTTGACGACACCCGTCAATTGTTTCGAATTGGGGCTAGCCAAACGGAGCGCAGTTGTCACAGTAATGATATGGCAGAATAGTTTCCAAACAAATTATTTGACATCTCTATTTCTGGTTTATATACTCGATGGTGGCCGCATTGCAAAAGCGAGAAGCCAGCGAAACGCCGCTACGTCGCTTAATAGATGGCCGCACCGGGCAAGTTAGGCGATCATTGGCGGCCGCACTAACGCCGCACGCGACGAATAGTCACGTTTGTATTGTGGAAAGAGGTGCGGTGTCTCCTTCGCAACTCTTCGCTCGAATATGCCGCGCTCTTTCGTACGAACGCTGCGAGGCAGTGTGGCCGCTCAGATACATCACCGCATATTTTGTCGCAAATCGTGTCAAATCACCGTCGCACCGCTGCTTGTCGTACGAAATTCAAGTGTCGTCGCGAGTCGCTGAATAATTTTATTCAATGCGGACACCTTCATTACTTGTAGAACATTTGAAATTCCTTTACGATATGAACAAATAAATTTCGCTTGTCGTTTCTGCAGTGCGGCCACCGACATAATATGTTTATATGAGTAAGTTTTCAAGGAATCGCCGTCGCGTCACAGTCGCCTTAGTAGTGCAGCCGCGGCCTAAAATTGATTACTGGCGACTGTACAAAATGAACAAACTGAATTATTTAAAACGCGTTTTATTAAATAAATTAGTACTAGACAGAAATCAACAAGAAAAGCCACCTACAACTAATTAGTTACTTTTTCATTTCTTTTCTTCTGTGAAAATATTCTTCAAGTCAGCATCTTTGAGAACATTTGCAGTTACGGAATCTGGATTTCTAGCTGTGAGTTTCGGGACATCCTGCTGCTGTTGTCTTTCAACGCCGACAGCCTCTACCGATCGTTGTACAAGTTCGTTTTCGGGAACTCCTTCTGCTTTTAGTTTTTCATAGTGTTTCACTAGTTTCCTCGTTTGAGTTTCACCTGTCGAACTGAGCATGTTGACTGCGCCATATCCATGTCCTTGTGAATGAAATTTCCTGCAGACAAATTTCTATTTCAAATTAATTTTAAAATATTAAACCATGAAATTTTTGATATATAGTAACAAATTAAAATTCGATCTTTGTACCAATTATAACAAACTAGTGAGTAATTTCACAAAAAAATAATTGAATATCAATTCAATAAAAATTTGAAATACAGTTAATAGCGACATCTCGCGCCAGGGCTGGTAACGGTAAAGATATCTAACTGGATGATAAAACTTTCATAGATTTCTCATAGATGGCGCTACGACTAAAAAGTCGTTGAAAAACCAAATACAAAGATACGACGCAAGCACATAGAAAAATTCGTGAGGTCCGCTGGTTCGTTCCGTAGATTAGTTGGCACGGTAATAGCGTCTGGCACGGTAAGCTAGAAAACGTCGGTTCGAATCCGGCCGGATCGAAGGAATTTTTTTATGAGTGTTCGATCTTTGTATTAATGATTATAACAAACTAGTGGAGTAACTTCAGAAAAAATAATCGAATATCAATTCAATAACAATTTTAAATTAAATTTCTGTTTATGCATACACGAAAATTGAAGTATACAACATATCGAAAGTTTTGTCAAAAAGTGTTTACTTACGCTCTAACAACATCTTCTGGGTAAAAGATCTGTCGGATTGGCTTGATCTCAGGTTTCGGGCGGGCGGACTTGGGCTCCACGGTCGGAGGGAAGGCTCGATAAATGTCAAACCAAAGTGGCCTGTCGTCAGGTTTCATTGCGCCGCGAGTAAGAAGTCCTTCCACGCTGAAGAAATTGAAAAAGAAGTATTGTCTATTACTATTAGGCTCAATTTACATTGCCGCGGAACGGAATGGAACATAGCGTCTATTTCGCCTCGCTGAGCGTAAAAGCGCGGTCGCTGGATTGTAAGAGCATTCCCCGGAATGCATGAGCATTCGCGAGCTTTCTCGCGACTGCGCCTTAAGGCGTTCATTGTAGACCTTTTACTAGACCAGGATGGAGGACTTGGATATTGTTTTTATGTATTATTCTTAGAATTTTTGTCGCTGCTGTGCTTTCTAGATTTTACATTGTAGTTTAAACAATAATATTTTTGTACCAAATACATTAACTTTTTATCTGAATCCACAACCTATTTCGTCGACGTTTGACGTCACACCTTTAGTACCTATATTAATGCCTGCCTTCGCGCCACTTCCAACTACGGTAATTCCCGCGAATGCACGAGCATTCTCGAGCATGCGCGAGATTTCGCCGGAAGACGCGAGACATAATGTTCATTTTGCTATGTACAATTTCGATACAAAAATCCGCTTCCATGCCGTTCCGACGCAATGTAAATTGAGCCTTAGATATCAAATTGAAACCTTCAAAACATGCACTAGCTATTTATTCCATTTGTTTGCTTAAAAATTGTCTTTTTGTTTGATTTTTCCGTATGCTCCTACTGGGTGCTCCCACTACTTTTTTAGGAAATGAATTGAAACAAACTTTATTTTAGAGGAAATACTTTGCTAAAAATACTAAAGAAATTATTACTTTGAAAAAGTTTGTATCCAATATTTTGAGATTAACTTTATTTTGCCACATATAACATTACTAATCATGTAAAGGACAAAAAACAAGGGAAAAATTGTTTGGTTCAAAATTTTTTAAATTTATTTCATACACTTTCAATTTTTATTTAATACTTAGTTAAATAGTAAGAATATAAAAGCTTTCCAAAAAATAAAATTGTCTACAATTTTTTTTTGCATGTTCCTATGACTGCTGTTTTTAAATTTAAATTGTAGATTTAACGAGTTCTTAGATTTTCATGATTGTTACATATAAGAAATGAAACTATTTTTCCGGAATCATAAATCATAATTATATATTTATTTTTACAAACAAACTGACGTTTCGGGCCCTTAACAGATCCCATGGTCACGGTTGTCATTCATTAGTAGATTTAAGTTGTATATTAATACTTTTTGTAATAGTTTACTATAATAATGTAAATTAAAGTTTAGAACGAATTATTCTAGAGCATGGGAATCTAATATTAATAAAGATTGTCTAAAATTTTGATTTACTCTTTAATATGTGAAGAATGTATTTCTTTAATCATTTTTTGCTTTTGTTTTTGATCATTTGTAGTCTGTTGAATGCATTTCAAGAACACTCCAGATAGGTGTTCTAATTTCTATTCATTCATTGTCTTCAGAACTTTATAATCTGCTTCTTGAGTTATGACTTCTAGAAGTTTCCTGAAATATATTATTGGTACAATGTAAAAAAAAACTAAGAAAAAATTAAATGGGAAGATAGTAAAGCAATTTTTTTATTTTGAATCACATATTCTACCCCGTGGATAGATACAAATTATGTGATTCAAGAGACATATTACATTATTTATTTTGTGGCCCACTTACACATTCAGTCTTATTAGTGTCTTGGTACAACTTTAGTAGAACCAATGACACCACTTTAATGCAGGGGATGTGAACTGAAGACGGTACTAAATATAGCAACATAATAAAACAAAATATATTGCCCAAACCTGGCATCCATTTCATTTCCCAAGACTTCTAAGAGCTTTCGACGAGTTTCTTTAACATCGACCACAGTCTCCACTTTCCTCTTTTTGGCATTCATTTGATACATTCCTATTAATTTGGAAATGTCGTCTTCTTTAGGTACAATTTTTTGGCGCTTCTGGACCTTGTTAGACTTATGAGAGTTCATCATAAATTGAGAATCATTTAGTAATTCACTCACATCTTTCGACGAAAACTTGAATTTTGTGCGTTTTTCATTGCTAGCATATTTAAGTTCGTGACAAATATTTTATAAGGACCCTAAATATTGTAACCATACTCGAATAACCGCGATTTTCAATAGAAAATTTGAAATGTAAAAAAATACCTTGTAACAAATATTAATTTTTTGAAAATAGAAAAGGAAGCAACAATTATTTAAGAAGTCAAAAATGTGACTTCATGTTTCACTTACCGGGTAAATATTGTACCGATCCTTTCGAGTCTACTGCTTGCCATTCTATATTTCGTCCACGAATATTAGAAATTATAGGAGATATTTATTTCGCAGCTTTATGCGAAATGAAATTTTCAGGTTACTTTCACAGATTTTCTATTAATTTCTATTTGTTTGTGTTTTTTTTTAAATTTTCACCCATTTATTTGGGTAAGCAAAGGTTTCCACCATACAGCCTCTTCATAAAATTTTGTTTATGTTTTTTGACATTCATCAGTTACATAGTGTAGCCATATGTTAGACTATTTTTTTCCATCTCTAAGGACTCATCACGGACTCATTCTGACTTCTTGGGGACAATGGGATTGTTACGGACTCCTTTGTACATTTTGTATTTTGTTTTCTGGTTGTCATGGTGACGATGATTTGTTGACTGCATGTATTATGTCAAGTGAAAAGGATTCGCTCTGGACCTTTTGGAGGGAAAAGTATCGTTTTTATTTTGACTTTCAATTATATTGTGAAATCTATTTTAAAGTGGAATAGGATAGTGCCGTACGTATCGGCCCGTTTTAAGGAATCCCTAGTCAATCCAAGCACGCGCCGCCTCAAATTGCCTATCCTCTTTGTGGCGGCCATATTTACAGAAACATATTTAAACTTCATGTTTAGGCTCTTGGCTTTGCCAAAGCCTTACTAAATTTAGAAAAAAAATCAAGTGAAAAGTCGACTTTTATTTGCAGAAAATAATTAGTGATTTGTGATTGTCGAAACGAACTGCATCAGGGACCACCTCAAGAGTAAAATAACCCTTTGAAACGAAAAAAAACAATTTTCAAAATTGGTGCACAATAGATGGAGAATAGAATAGAATACGTTTATTTGCCAGAATACAGTAATTACAAAGGTCTTAAGTAAAATTAGGTACATTGTATTCAACCTGCAAGCAGATGTGCAAATATTAATGGGATTCAATGTTTCTTTAGTATCTATAGTTTCTAATTAATGTAATGAATTTGTAAATTCTAAGTATTCTTTATTACTATAGAAGCAATGTGTCAAAAGCCATTTTGTCAATTTTAATTTAAAATTATGTCCTTGTAACAATTTAATTTTGTTTGGTAATTTGTTGTAAATAATTATACACATGTTGAAGCAGTTATTCTTATAAATTACTTTATGGCAACGAGGTTGGTATAAGAGATTCATAATTTTTGAAATTGATGAATATACGGACATCCCTATAAAATTTGAGGATTTCATTCGATTTTCATGGGATCGCCTCATCAGATTCTGACTTGGTGACAATGGGACCACCACAAGAGTGCACCTTTTCAAACAAAAAAGAATTTTCAAAATCGGTCCACAATTGACGGAGATATCTAAAAACATACATACATCCGAACGTATAACCTCCTCCTTTTTTCGGAGTCCGTTGAAAATAGGCCTTGTGTTCCACTAATTGATAATTAATTTAACGAATGTCGACGGGACGGATGATTATTCTAGTTTTCTCCCTGACGTGAGTGATCGCGCTCAAACCATAGACTATGGAAACCAAAGTACATGTGATATATATAAATCAGACGTTATATGTGTCCAAGCGTGTGTCTATGTTCGGCAATATATAATAGACACACGATGTTAAGCGACGATGTGACCGATGATGGGACGCGTTTGCCTAAAAAATGCCTATTCACTCTAGCCTTGAATAGCCCCAAATTGTACTTTTCGGAAAATACAGATAGAGCATTCCATTCCTTTGCTGTATACACCAGAAAGGAGGAAGCAAAGCGCTTAGTCCGAATACGTGGAATATCAACGACATAAGAATGGAGTGCTCCGGACCTTCTAGTAGACCGAAGGAGGAACGGTGAGGGTGGAACTGCGCACACTCCCCGAAATGTATCCGATAGAAAACCGACGAGAGGGCTACTTTTTTGCGATGGTCGAGTTTTTGAAGCTTCGACTCTACAAGAGAATTGTTGTTAATAAGTCTCTTTGCTTTTCGCGTCACCGAGTCCAAGGCAGCTAACTGCTAATGGGCAGAGCCGTCCCAAAGGTGGCAGCAGTACTCCATACACGATCGAACTTGTGCTTTATACAGATTTAAAAGCTGTTCAGGTGTGAAGTACCGCCTGACCTTTTAAGCATGCCTAGTTTTCTGACAGCAGTTTTTGCCAAGCACTCGATGTATCGCCCAAAGTTGAGGTTAGACGATAAGTCCACACCAAGTAACTCAAGGTGGTCCCTTATCGGCACGGATACGTCTCGGATAGTCGGAATATGGTGCAGGGAACCCCGTTTTGATGTGAAAAGACACGCCTGTGTTTTAGCCGCATTAAGCCTGACCCTGTTCGTATCTCCCCAGCCGGAATCCGCTAACAGGTTCGGGTTCAACCGGGTGACCATCGCCTCTTGTTTACACCTCTTCGCTGTTGTCTCGGGCGTCTGGCATATAACTCTCTACCACTGTGCTGTCGTCTGCGTACCCAAAGATACCGGGCATCAGTAGCAGGTCGTTGATATGCAGCAAAAATAGAGTGGCGGAGAGGACAGATCCCTGAGGTACACCGGCATTTATACCATGAGGAGCAGAAGAGTAACCATCTACAACTACACGAATTGACCTATCCTTCAGAAAATCGCATATCCATGTGCAAAAGCCAACAGGAATTCCGTAAGCTGGAAGCTTGTTTAACAGGCTATCATGCCAAACCCTATCAAAGGTCTTCGATATGTCGAGAGACACGGCAAGCGATTCACCGCGTTACTCGTCAGGCTCGCCCCATAAATGTGTGGCATACGCAAGAAGATCCCCAGTAGATCGACCACGGCGAAAACCTTATTATCGAACACTGAGAAGATCGTTCGTTACATTCGAGCTATCCAAGGAGACGGCTGTTCAATACACGCTCCATAGTCTTACAGAGTACGAATATGGAGTTGATTGCGATAGGTCAATAAATAGATGGTCGATAATGATTCATTTATACTTAAACATTTTGTTGTCTTTGTTTAACTACTACGTGCCGTCGTAAGCCAAAAGAGATAGCACTGAATTGATTTATGTCAAACACGGGAATTGAAAATACGTAAGGTCATTTTAAATGCCAACTGTCCTCATTTTGCCATTTTTGGAGTATCCTTTGATAACCGTTTCCAGTTGTCAAAAGGAAGTACATCAAATGTGAAAACCAATGTTTGACGAAAGATTTTAGTGAATTATTCGCATGAGTTGTAATGAAATGGACAAAAATATTGACAGTGAGTACAATTAAGTATTGATTAAAATGCGTCGCTGCGGCATTAAGGGGTGCGGCAGTAGAAAAGGCCGAAATCATCCGAATGTTACATTACACGGCATGTGTTATTTTTTTGTCTATAAATCACAATAGCCCAAATATCTCAAGTAATTAGACTAATTTATAATTTATTCATAACTCTTGCCGAATTTTGCTTTGGTTACTTTCGGTTGCCAGTTTGTTAGTAGCATTTTGAAGATTGATGATAACGATTATTTTAAAATAGTGTTGTTCTTGTAATATCGATAATTTGTCTGCACACATTATCGATATTCTGTTATCACTACGAGGTTTTTATTATTTCATTATTATTATTTTTATAGATTACCTTCAAATGAAAAAGAAAGTAAGAATGGTTGGAAATTATAGGATTGCCGAACATAAACATTGGATCAAATATCACATTCGTTCGTTCGCTCCATTTTGAAGAGTCAAATTTTAATAGAACTTTGAATGTAACTAGATTACATGATAATGCAATTTCATCGTCGCATTTATTGGTAAATAATTTTATATTCAATTTTGAGTAAACAAGAGACATTGCTAGGCATTCTCAGTTCCTTAAATCCATCCACTCGTTTCGTAAGGCCCGTTGATTAGTTCCATGGCTTAGTTGGCATAGTGTCTGTCACGGTTGACTGGAAAACGTTGGTTCGAATCCAGCCGGATCGTAACAATTTTTTGTAACTGTTCGATCTTTAAGAAACTAGTGGTACTTTAATAACTGCCTCCGTGGCCGAACGGTTACCATACCGGACTGCCACGCAGAGGTCCCAGGTTCGATTCCCGGGCCGGGAGAAATATTTGTATGGCCTACAATTATTTCTCTCGTGAGTTTGGGTGTAATTTGTGGTTGTCTATATGTGTGTCCATGGCACCTGCGACACAGGGTTTCCCTAGTGCGGGGCTATGTTGAGTGTGTGCGTTATTTATTATTAAAAAAAAAAAAGGAGTAATTTCACAAAAATAATTGAATATCATGGTGGTCAAACATCGTAACTTAAAAATTACGGACAAAGTAATTTAAAAATGTGTGTTAATATGTATAATAAAATATCACTCAATATTAAATTATTAGACTCATGTTTGTTTATAACGAAGTTATGTAAGTGATTAAATGATAATTTTTTTATGACAGGAAATAAGATGTAAAATTTTATCTTGATTTTAATAATTCTTGGCAAATTTAATTTGTAACTTGTGACCATTTGTTGTGACATTTTTATTGTCGTGGTAGTTATTAAACTATACATACATATACATACATATATTAATATGGTTATGTAATACAACATGTTTGTACTGACACTGTCTCTTGCTACATCTTCTGTTATTCCATGTTTTAGGCAAATAAACTTACCTGTTATTAATGTTGTATCTGATTTTAGGAATATCGATAATGTTATTACAATTATATAAGTAATTTTATTTATTTCGAAAATGAAATGGAAAAGAAATTATTTATACATATACTAAATTAAAAAACAGCTTGTAACTATATGGAAACCTTCAAAAAAAATTTAATATCAGTCTTGAGATTGGAAATGCATAGAAATCTTCTGATTTATATTATTTTTCGTAATATGTGAGCATTTAAAAATGCAAAATAATAAATTCAAACTCTCATATCCATCATCCCGGATATTGCACGACAATGAATATTGATCTACTTTAATTAAACATTTTAATTATACTTCACGTAACAAAAAAAACAGTTACAACATTCAAGCCATACATTTACATATCGATATTGACTTATCGATGGTTATGGTACAACACTAAAGAGATCCACCATTTGTGGTGGACATTTTTGGTTTAGGTAGGTACGTTTATTCTGTAGATAGAGCAGCTCCTTTCCTTTATTTTTTTCCATCATCTAGAGCCATATAAAGCTTAGACGATGGAAAAAAAATTCCATAGTCCAGAGCAATGAGATAACAAACCTTTGGAGACGGTAGTCTTGCATCCTTTCATTTCATTTTATCGCTTCTCACGGGGTGAGAGTTCGAGCCATTAAATTTTTTTTTGTTAAATTTACCATTTATCGGTTTATGAGAAATTGCCGTGCGTAGCAAGAAGTAAAAATTACGGATATATATCCTATAGTAAATCAAATAATACAATTTTGTGTCTCATTTACTTTCCAAAAACTCTATTATAATATACATTATAATTACTGGCGCGATTCTGGATTTTTTATGTAAAATTAGGAGCTCCTAAAAACAGTAAAAAAGAGGAAGCTGCAGTATTTCGGGCACATCATGCGGAGTAATAAATACTCTCTACTGCGGCTTATTCTGCAGGAAAAAATCCAGGGCCGCAGAAGGCGTGGTCGTAGGAAAACCACATGGCTTCAAAATCTTGCAGTGGTTCAACATAAGTACCACAGGACAGTTTCGAGCCGCAACTTCACGGACTCAAATTGGCACAATGATAGCCGAGCTCCGATAGGAGATGGCACCCAAGATGTAAAATTTAGTAGGTTAACGGATTTTTGTATCAAATTATGGGTACTTGGTAATCATAACTTTGAAAAATTGTTACATACTACAAATTACGCAAAAAACTTACCAATCTATTTAATTTCGGAGGAATGTGTGCTGCCTTTTAATTCCTCGTATATGATATTTTAACAAATTCAATTATATATATTATTAAAAATTATATATTATAGATATTTTTTAAAAATCAGCTGACCCGAGAAAAGTAACTAAAATATTAAGCATATTTTTTATTTCCTGAAATAGTATATTGTATGATTTTAATGATAATGAGAAGTCAATACACAAAAACATACAACTGTATGTTTCAAAATAAAAAATCAAAATATCCTTACAAAAATACTTTTATTAAATTAAAATAATGAATTAAACACAACTCATTCTCACAGGATTCTCCTATAATTAATTATTTTCTCATTAAAAATTGCCATTGCGTAAATGTACATTATTTACAAAAAAAATATCAAATGGTTTTCTTGCGATAGTTCCGTTGAAATGACAGTCATCGTCGTTGTGATTTGCTTTTATAAAATGAACTATTAAGTTTACGCGCTTTGCGCAATATCAGCACTCTATCTTGCCAAGCAAAATTACGTCTGAAGTCTTGATGACGTCAACTCACCGAATATAGCTCAACTAAAAATTAGTTGCGTAACTAATCCGTTACTGTGTCGCACCTATCGTGAAATTAATAGTACCCCTCCCTATTCTGGCAACACTGCATTCTCAAATCACAAAGCTTGTAATGTCCGTCAAATTGCGCCCCTAATCGAAATAAGTTTTATTTGTCTTGTACTCTTCTTGAATATCCACTAGTGCTTGGTCCTAAACTTGAGCCAAGGCCTTTACTCGTGTTTGCTTTAGAACTTTGTCCTTTACTTGTACTTGGACCAGCACTGTAGAGTCCTTTGCTTGTACTTGGACCATAACTGTTTGAACTTTTACTGCTATGGCCTTTGCCCGCTCTATTTCCTTTAGCTTTACTTAAGCCAGAACTTTTCCAGCTTTTATTTAAACTATGGCTTTTGCTAGTGCTTGGACCTGTACGACTTGATCCTTTACTTGTAGTTGGAATCGCACGATTTGAACCTTTACTTGCGCTTGGCACAGCACTAACATTTGAACCTTTACTTGTGCTTGGAACAATATTTAAGCTAGGTCCTTTACTAGGGCCAGCACTAGTACTGGTGCCCGAACCTTTGCAAGGTCCAGCACTAGTACTGGCGCTTGGTCCCCTGCTTGGACCAGCACCAGAGCTAGTGCTTGGCCTACAAAGGTTAAGCTCATGCTAGGATTGTGATCTATGTTTTCTAAAACACCGCTTATCAGCTTGCCGAGTGAGGATATCGGAGACAAAGGTTCTATGCGTAAATACGCGAAGTAAGTCATCCCGAGCCTCGTGAATGCCTTCGCAAACTATTTTACTTCTTTGAATGTTACCCTGTGAACAAAGAAATGGGTTAGATAGGGGCATTTTATTTATTTGAGCCTTATTTACCAAGAAAATGTGTAAATAAATTACATAGATTGTACCTTGAGCAGTTCTAATAAAGTGTGTGTATGCGGTTGGAGAGCAGTTTGTGCACGGCTGCCGAGATTCTCGAGTTGCTTCAAGAGCGTTGATAACTGGGCCCCTACGTCCGCCTCTAACGATACCTGAAATTAAAAAAAAAAAAAAAAACAATCTATCGTGAACTGTATAATCATAACAATTTAAAATAGAGAATTATGGTAGCGTATTTTATTTTGTTTTATGTAAAACTGAAGTAGTAATTATTTGTGTTGTAATATATCGTGAAATGGAATATGGTGCTTACTAGGTCATCCATTTGAGCCGTGAGATGATGTACTTTCCAGCCTTCTGCGCTAGTTAATACATGTTTTTGACTGGCGATCTGTAGTATGTCTTTGGCCCGGGGCTCTCGCCGTCTCACGTCTGACGGTCGGGTAAAATGCATCGCTGTGCCACGCCAGCCACACACATAGCTAGAGCTTAGAAGGGGTCCTGTAGATAAAGAATTAGATTATAAAAGTGTGTTTGTTTTATAAAGCTCCTATATCGATGCCTCCTACGTAAAGTATCGTATGTCGAAATTGCCAAGTTTACTGGGGAGCGTTTTAAACTTCTGAATTCTCTGAAATAAGCATAATACGTGACTTTAGCATTTCTCACTTTTATTCGGCAAAGCTCGTTACTCACATAGAGTATTATAAAATTCTAGATATTGGTTAGATGATCTATTAGATGATCACTCTATGTGAGTAACGAGTGAATTCAGAACTTTAAAACGCTCCCCTGAAAAGTTACATAGGAGGGGTCGATATATCTGTGTTTAGCTGAAATAAGTGGCTTGCACACATTGACGTATACCATGACAGGCGTAGTACGACTTAGCATTCCGTGACTTGTAGAGAACTTGTTGTAATAACGCACACATTTATAGCTTGACACAATTACACCAAAACGCACGAGAGAAATAAATGTAGGTCATACAAATATTTCTCCCGACACGGGAATCAAACCCGGGACCTCTGCGTGTAACCGTTCGGCCACAGAGGCAGTTGAAATGAAGGTTGGTTATGTATACAAAATGAAACATGTAATGTCGGGCTAACATAAACGGCGTTCCGCGTAGCGGTTTCGCAATGGATCTCATTTGCCGCTTATTATAATATTTTAGCCAGTACAATGGCTGTAAGCGTCACAGCGCGCACCGAAAGAAGTTTTGTAATGTTCTTCACTTACGTTTGGGTGGTTTTACTTCAACAGACGGAGGCGTAGGTGGCGGTTCTTCTGTTTGAAACTCTTGACATTGTCTCACTTCGTTGCTCAATCTGTGAATTAGAGTAAACTTTCGTAGATAGTTGGTTATTACGAGACTTTATAAAAATCACGACCCAAAACCTAAAAACCATACCCACGGCGTACAGAAATGACATATGGCTAGATTTATAGAAAAATATCTGTATTTTACAATGGTATGTGTCGCTTTACTGTGGGTACTAGAACTTATGGAATAAAAAAAAATGTGTTTCTATATAAAAAAAATGTATGTTAGTGCAAAATATTTGTGTTTAGTATTTATTTATTTTCAACTGCCTCTATGGCCGAACGGTTACCATGCCAGACTGCCACGCAGAGGTCCCAGGTTCGATTCCCGGGCCGGGTGAAATATTTGTATGGCCTACATTTATTTCTCTCGTGAGTTTGGGTGTAATTTGTGGTGTGTCAATGGCACCCGCGAACCAGGGTTTCCCTAGTGCGGGGCTATGTTGAGTGTGTACGTTATTAATATTATGATTATTATTATATATTATTATTATTGTTTATCACCCAGAGAATGACATCGGTCGTATGCCTACTATAGCTGACCGCGCAGGGTTCGCGCAAGAGTGTGATGGTACTTATTTTGATAGAAAGTCAGACAATAACCTAATCAGGGTTTTCACATAATTAAAAATATGTTTAATGTCAAATCTTTACTGCCCTGTTACATGTTAACCTCATAGATTTTCAATATTTCATTTAGATAAATTAATAAGTGGTTCATAATTGCATAATTCAAAACTCTTTTTTTTTGTACACAAACATCCTTTTAACTGGTCAGATTATGGGTCATGGATCTTTCATGATTCGTTATCTCTATACGCTGCATACAGCGTATGCTGCGTACAGCAGACACATATGTCTGTGTTCGTGCGCTTTAGTCCAGGCACAGATTACTTAATAGTTACTACGTAATCTATTACTTCACTCTCATACAAAATCGAAATCAATACCTACGCTACAATAGCCTAATAATACACACTGATTAATGACACTAGGCGCTCACTACAAGGAAAAAGGAACCTAAGCACGCGCTCATATAGGTGAAAATAACGTTGCCCGCTGTGTGCAGTCGTGCGGAGCCGAATGCTTATAAATGAACTTGTATGAGCGCTTGCGCCGACGTCAGCGCACTCAGCGGTAGGCACTTATCGCATAACCTTGAGCGAGTGACGGAGCCCTGGTCCGGGCGCATGTGTTTGAGAGTGCGCGCGAGAGTGTACATCTATGTGTCATAATCATAACTCAATTGCGCACATACGATATAAAGTATGGTCACCAATGATCTTAGTATGTAGAATCATTGATGGCTACATAATAATTTGAAGGCTTGACTGACATAACGTTTAGACCATGAATAGCGCTAATATTGACTTTTGAAATCAATATTCCTATCACATTGACTTACAAATAAATGGACGTATGGTCCGCGCTAAAAAGTGTCCGAACTTACAGGGCGTTAAAATTGTATACAGGGCGTCAATCACGCTTTAGTCATCGTTTGTTCGACTGACAGCGCGCTTGTCAATGATGCCGTCTTGTGTAGTAAAACCTTCTAAAAAATACTCAACCAAAGTGAAAAAACAGGGTGGTATATTATCAGTAAGTACTACATTGTGTTATCATAGTTATCATTTAAAAGTGTTATTTTATGCACTAGTATATATAGTATTTAATTTATATTTAAATTAATCGTAAATATAAATTACAAAAGCAATCAAAATAATCAAATAGCTAACTGTCTCTTTCCGACTCATCGCTTGCGTAAAAGACTGAACGAGATCCATCACGTCAATTTCAATTGTTTGAAACACAAGCGTTTGAAATATTTAGAACAAAAATTTCATAGAGTCGCTTTGATGCTAATGTTATTCTTAAAATATTTTTTAATACATGTTAGTAATACTTTCAAATATTGTTGTACTCTTTCTACGGCTCGGGGTTACGAATCAGAAGACCGAAAATACATTTGCCCAAAATAACGTTTGCATGAATTTCCATAATCCCGAAAGTATTTTTTTAGGTTTTTCGGGAGAAATATGTGTATGGCCTATATTCATTTCTCTCGTGAGTTTGGGTGTAATTTGTGGTTGTATATATGTGTGTCAATGGCACCCGCAACACAGGGTTTTCCTAATGCGGGGCAATGTTGAGTGTGTGCGTTATTGTAATTATTACTACTAATTAGTACCTAAGTGTTTATTTTGGAAAGCGTTTCTCTTGCGCAATCAATATCGCGCATTTTAATTTTCTAATTATCTCACAACGGCAAATACCCTTCTACCGTACTACGACTATGAGCCGTACTTTTCATGCACAAGAAACATTTGCAAGAACTATGATCAGTACGATTATGCTTGTTGACGGAATCAACCGTCGTCAGTGATAAACCGTAATAATTATATTGAATCAATGTAAGCACTACGGCATATAGAAAAGTGGTGACGTTTTTGGGCGCAGTATAATTTCAGTACTATGCACGAACGGGTTAAGAAAATGGAAAGAAAAGAAAGGAAACCACACAGAAAAAAAGGATTTCTACTAATAAGAAAGAGCAATTTCTCAAAATATTTGCTAATTCTGAAAACATATTTATTTAAAGTAATAAAATATTGTCATTACAAAGATACTGCTTATCTTTTTCTAATACAATTTTACTCTTAACTTTATTCTAACTTTGAGACAAATACGTTCACTTCAAGATTTTATTTCATTTCTAATCAATTAATTGGACATTACTTACATCAAGAAATTTTTTCCTCTTACATCAAATCTAAATAATCTCAAATGAATCCCCAATTTCTTGGATGTATTTTAAGAAAATATTTTCTTAGACAAAAAAAAAGTTATTTTGCTAATAAGAGTAATATTCTAAATTCGAGAATACATTTTTTATGGCAACATTTTGCTTTGTCATTTTCAATCATGTCGTGACATGTTGAAAACGCGCGCGCTCCGTCTCCGTGGCCGTGGTATCTGCGATTGAAGAAGCCATCCATAAATCAATAGCCAATTATTTAAAATGTGAAGCAAAGTGAACTATACTTACTTAGTTTTACTTGAAATCTTAAAAAGGTAAGGCAAGGAGAATAAAATCTTAAAAAGGAACTGATTTTTCTATTTGTTGTTTGTGGAAACAGTAATGGATTCGTTGAAAGAACTTTTGGAATCGTGGAATATACCACAAGTTGTAGTGACCAATTTTATTGGTGAGTGATTTGATGTTATTATGAATTAATTGTGTAAGTATTACATTTTTATGCGCATGATGATATTTTGTACGTAACGTTGAATGTAAGCGTAAAATGGAGGGATCTTAGACGAACTTTTCCTAGAAATAGGTATACACTATACTTAAACATGGGATTATTTAATTTATGAGTTTTTATGTAAATAATCTCTGTTTAGAATCCCGATTTAATGTCGTCATTGTTTATTAAAAATAATGTATCTACCTTTGAAATGACTTTTTTGAATGATTTGAAATTCGACAATTAGCATTTTACAATAGAAACTAACTTTTAACTGCCTCTGTGGCGGTTACCTTGCCGGACGCAGAGGTCCCAGGTTCGATTCCTGGGCCGGGAGAAATATTTATACGGCCTAGTTTGGGTGCAGTTTGTGGTTGTCTATGTGTGTGTTCATGGCACCCGCGACACAGGGTTTCCCTAGTGCGGGGTATATTCAGTGTATGTGTTATTGAGTGTGTGTGTTATTAAACTAGAAGTAAAATACATAAAAAGATATTTGATTTAATTTGACTTTATTTACAAACTTGACTACTTTTGCAGAGAATGGTATAACGATTGAACATTTCCCCAAATTAAAACTAGACAATTTGAAAGAATTATGCCCACATATGGGGACTAGACTATCTTTAGAGGAAAAGATAGGGGAGCTTATTACTGCACAGGTGAGGGACCTGTATGTTTAAGTTAAAAAATTTAGTTGAAAGTGCTTTCATACTGACATCTTAACATAGCTTGACTATAAAATACACAAAATAGTCTATTTTTTTAACTTTACAGGCAACGACAGATGCAGTATCTGAATCAACTGATGATCAAGTCATTATTACTCCCACCTCCAGTAAATTTGAGACAAGCACCAGTGATGCCGGTTTATTAGTTTCATTAGATGAACTACAAGTGGTCGACGTCTTGGAAACAACCAAAAGTGTATCTAGAAAAACATTTCCACATTTTGATTTGGAGACACTACTGCATACGTCAGCAGGTGGCAATAGTATTTTAAAATACTATGAAACATATGGTTTTCTCAATAATACCAAGAGAAACCAGTTGACCGATATAATTATAAAACATATATACACATACATTGTCAATTAGTAAGTATATACTGTATATATTAGTAAGTATATACTGTGTTCTGATTACTTTTACACTTCCCAATAATACATCACTCAAATTTTTTTAGCCGGATAACCTATGAAGAATATAATATTATATCTGCGAAAATAATATCACTGTTTCCAAAGGAGTCAATAGGCACTTATTTTACCAAACCTATAAAAAAAAATAATTCATTTAATGGACGTTCTACAGTAGCACGAGGAAAATTGGTAGACAAAGTCCGTAACCTTCTGTATAAATATGGAGACCACACACACAAGCGACAATCTGGCACTCTAGAAAATGCTCCACCGTTTAAAAGACAGTATATTCAAGGTTTGCAAGGTAATTTTTTTTTTAAATGGGCTTGCAATTAAACCCACTGACTTTCACTGGGTTAAAGCAATTTATGAACCTATTTAGGTATTTGAGAGTAGGTATTCTAAGTCGCATCATTCTGGGTATTTAATACAGGTAAATGTAACTCTAAATCCTCTGTAAGTGGGCCCCATTTACAGTGGTCCAAAAATTTTTCTACATATAGGAGTAACAACCCATTTAAAATAAATATTAGTTTACCAAAAATCAATAGCTTAAGTTATGATTTTTTTATGTACTTTCTTGAAAATTTTCTACTCTAGTCAAAAGTTTAAAACTAGTCTATTTTGAAAATTATTCCACTAAATTAATTGAAATTTGGTATTAAAGTAGTAGTAACCATGTAGCTAGCATGCAATGAACCATTTTTGTGTTTGTTCTTAGATTGCTCCGTTATTTTTTAGTCAATTCATGTTCATGAGTTTCTACAATTTTAACTCTCTAATGGTCATAATGTACACAAAAAGAAAATGTTTAAAAACATATGTATAGAGAACTTCTGATAAATAGATAGGTTTGAGAATAATTTCATGTAAATCTGAGCTGAACCAATGTTTTCTTTTGAGAAATTAAGTTAAAATTGTTTGAATAACGATTATGATACTGGTGGTGGTTTTAATGACTAGAGTAGAAAATATTGAAAAGGTATGGATGGCAACATATCAAGTTTCACATTGATGTATCTTGTTCCGTTGCACTGGAGGCGATTTTCAAATAAAAATGTGTGGTCTGATGTGCTATTGAATGTACATAAATAATCATGACTTCTAAACTATTGAATTTTGCTGAACTAATGTTTATTTTCAATAGGTTGTTTTGTTACTATGTCTTCTATCTAAAAAAATCTATAATATTATTATTATTAGATAGGAACAGGTACTTACGTGGGAAAGGCATTTGTCAGCTGATTGAAATGCAGGTAAATAATGAAAGTCTTACAAAACATTTCAATAAGGATTAAATGAAACACTAACATGATTTTTTTTAGATTTACATTTAAGAGATATACTGTTTCTCAACAATAACACCGAACCATGGGGTGAAGTAATACAAAAATGGAAAGATACATTTAAAGTTCGAAAAGAAAGTGAACACAAGAGCGTTCATGAGTTTCTACAAGACTGGAAAATATTATCAGACCAAAGAAGTGACATATTGGTATGTAATCTGTTTTCATATGTTTTACGTTTTATTTCTGAGCTATCCATCTTGACGCAGACCAATCATTTTGACAACTATGATATTTGTTTTCAGATAAACATTGACTTCGACTTGTTGTATCCAGAAAAAGGGCTGAATTTTTATTTAAATTGGAAAATATTTTTCGAAAAAATTATTGCTTTTAAACCGAACAGAGACGAAAGGATCTTGAACCTTATTGAGTCACTGAAAAATTTAGATAATGATTGTAAGTGTCCGTTTTTAATTTTATAAAGCTTGAGATAGAATTAGTAAAATAAATAATAATAATAATAATAAGAAAATGTTTATTTCAGTAATGCAATTAACTTTACATTAACAGTGGATGGTACCTTCTATTAAGCTTGTCAAGCGTCAGTGTCAGGAGGTACCGCTCTTCCATAGCTATAAATTCACATTTAACATTTTTAACTTAGTCTGTCTGTCCGTCGGTCCGTCTGTCCGTCGGTCCGTCTGTCCGTCGGTCCGTCTGTCCGTCCGTCCGTCCGTCTGTCTGTCTGTCTGTCTGTCTGTCCGTCCGTCCGTCCGTCCGTCCGTCCATCCGTCCGTCCGTCCGTCCGTCCGTCCGTCCGTCCGTCCGTCCGTCCGTGTGTCAGTGTGTGCGTGTGTGTCCGTGCGTGCGTGCGTGCGTTCGTCCGTCCGTCCGTCCGATCGATTGGATCGATTGGGCCGATCGATTGAATTGTCTGTTTGCAAATGTTGTATTTACTTGAGGTACTTTTACCACAATGTCTTTCCTTCTTCTCTTCGAAATATTTAGATCTAGTTTAGAGGCCTACGTTGTCTGATTACAGTTTGAGTGGTATACAGTTTCGCTACAGTGGCTAAATTTGATAGATAAAATTGTATAATATTATTTTCAATTGTTACAGTAACACTTCCTGCTGAGCTTAAAATACTCGCACATCTGGTGCCTCCAAAGGGAAGAATTTCAAAAAAAATTAAGTTCACTACTCAGGAAGCAATTGACTCCTTATATATTTGTGTGCCGGTATGTTTTTTTTAATAGCCCCGCCCTAGGGAAACCCTGTGTCGCGGGTGCCATGGATATACACATAAACCATCACAAATTACACTCAAACTCACGAGAGAAATAAATTTAGGCCATACAAATATTTCTCCGAGCCCGGGAATCGAACCTGGGACCTCTGCGTTGGCAGTTCGGCATGGTAACCTTTCGGCCACGGAGGAATTTATAATGTCGACTCATCCGAAGTCCGATATGATTATATAACGAAGAGAATAAGTACGTTACGAGAATAATTTCGTTATTCAAACTAAGGCCTGTGTAAAGGCGTTTTGACAATTTATATATCTTATTTCGTTTCGAAAATACAAAATCCAACAACAGTCGATCTGACATTTACAGCGAAGAAGAACAAACGAAATGTACTATGTCCTGAGAACAAGTAGTCTTGCACATATAGATCTTTGTTCTACAGATGAGTAGGTATATATATATATAAAACTGTCTCCTGTATATAATATATATATGTATTTTTTGTTTTCAATATTTATGCCTCATAATTATGCCTCATTTATAATATTACTTTGTGGTAAAGATTGGCTCACAAATCTGTTGTGGCTACTTATTATGTTTCATTCATTATGTACTCTTAATACTATCTTAATTTCTAGAATGCTGGCGATATAGACCAAGTAATCAAAGAACAAAAACAAAAGGCGACAAGCAAGAAATTGTCTGTTCAACCCTATGTTATACTCCAGGGATCTTTGCTAGAGTGTGGTTCACCGTTACTAATAGTAGATGATGTAAGATATCAATTTTTAACCATAACAAAAGCTTTTGATACTCTTTTTAAACTTTACCATACCTTCAACGTTAGATATCCCAGAGCAGGCGACCATTTATATTTGATCATACAAAGATGTGTATATAATATAGAAACTAAGTACGATAACGTCGTACCGTATATAATTGACGTTTTGAATATGTGATTTAGCTAAACACCACTTTCAAGGTTTCATAAACTCAATCAGAGCAGGGCCCACTCCCAATTGAGTTGTTCATGCTATTCTTTGAAAAAAAAAACAGTTTATACACAGACTTTCAATTAGAAAGAATTTTCTTACCACTTCTAACTCAGTTACGACAATTTATGCAACAATAATTGCTACAAGTGATATTTACAATATTGTTAACCTGATCAATCTCCGACTAAAACTCTCTGTGTTTCGCTTATTGTCAAAATGGATTTGAACTGTAATTACTGTCACAAAATACTTCATGATTTTAAGCAATACATTTTTCATTTAGAAACTATCCATAAAATAGGTAACTATTTTGTCTGCCCTTTTGAGAGTTGTAAAAGAACATATGATAAAAAAAATCGTTTTAAAAATCATTTAACAACGTGTTACAATTCAAATCGCAATAGGAATAGTACTTCTTGTGACAATAGTATTAATATCAGTAACTCCATCCTGTCCGAACAAAGTTCATTTCCAAGTACCAATGATACACACCAATCTTTTGACACATCACCGTCGAATGATAAAGACACTGGAAATGAATCTTTTATAAAATCTGTAAAATCATACTTAAATATATTTGTATGCAATTTATATGGGTTTGTTAGTTTACCAAGATCTTTAATACAAACTTTGATAGAATTAGTTCAAACCTTAATCCACAACATCACTTCAAATATACACGAAACAGTTAATAACGAACATATAGATGCCACTAAAAGAAACATTATTGTAATAGAAATGATATTAGCATTACCAGACATATTTAAAGACTACGATACAGAATATAAGCGCTTGAAAAATTTAGTTGACAATGAGTATTATGTAGCCCCTGTAGAAGTAAAGATCGGAACTGTCAAAGATCGACGTAGTGAAAATAATGATGTAACAATGATGCTAAAGGAACGAAAACTTTATATGACACCACTTAGACAAACATTAAGCAATTTTTTAAACTTACCTGGAGTACTTTCTCACATTCTTAATTATCAACAGATGCTTTTGGACGAGAGTAATGTAAGTAACGGTGATGTGATTCGAAATGTGATTCAAGGATCGTTGTGGAAAGAACTTTCGGCTAATATAGACAAAGATAGTATCGTTATCCCTTTAATTTTGTATTTTGATGATTTTGAAAGTGGCTATGCCCTAGGAAGCCACGCTGGCGAATATAAGTTAGGTGCAGTTTATATTTCTATTGCAACTATTCCGCCAGAACAATCAAGTAGGTTAGAAAATATTTTTGTGACTCAAGTATTTTATTCAAAGGACAGAGTATTTTTTGGCAATGGGGCAATTTTTAACAAATTAATTGAAGAACTTAAGTTTTTAGAAGAAGTTGGCGTTGGTGTTTTATTGTCCAAAAATATCATTACAGTAAAATTTGTATTAATAACTTTATCTGGAGATAACTTAGGACTCCACGGCATATTAGGACTTTTCGAAAGCTTTATGGCTACATATTTCTGCAGGTTTTGTTTGACTACCAAAACTGAATCTGAAACCCAATCGTGTGAATTAAATAATCTACGAATGCCTTCTGAATACAATCAACATGTTGAAAATCGTATAGGAATTAAAGAAATATGTGTTTGGAATAATTTGAAATATTTTCATATTTACAATAATGTTACATGTGATGTGATGCATGATCTTACGGAAGGGGTACTAAGGTATGGAATGGCCCTTGTAATTAGAAGTCTAATAGATAAAGGATATTTCTCACTAGATCATCTGAATTCTAGGATAAAGTACTTTAAGTACAATACTAATGAGAAAAACACACCACCACCAATCAATAATCAACACTTATTAAACAAAAGTTTAACTATATCTGCTTCTGAAATGTTATGCCTTACAAGAAATTTTGCTTTTGTGGTTGGAGATTTAGTTGAAAATAACGACCCCGTTTGGAACTATTATTTAATATTATTGGAAATAACAAATGTTCTCACTTCACATTCGTTTACTTCAGACCTAATAGATTACTTAAAAAGTATTATTGAAGAACATCACCAGCAATACCTTAATTTATTTCAAAGTAAATTAAAACCCAAACATCATTTCCTTATTCATTACCCTACAATTATAAAAAAAATTGGGCCGCCTATACTTATAAGTGCTTTTAAATACGAAGCGAAACACAAAGAGTTAAAAAAGGTTTGTCAGTCAATAACATCACGAAAAGATCTTCCTCAATCTGTTATGAAACGTTGTCAACTAAAACAAAGTTTTCGATATGCAACTGAGAAAGGTTTGACGGATAATCTTTTGTATGGTAAATATGAATTTGATGAAGGCCACTGTGGTGCAGACAATTGCATTTATGTTGATTGGTGTGAATTAAACGGAATTAGGTATACCGTAAATAATGTTTTGCTACAAGATATAATTGAGGATATTCCCAAATATTATATTGTTAACAAAATAATGATTAATCATTGTACTAATGACATATTATTTAAATGTTTTTTTTTAGATATTGTTCATTATAATGCTCATTTCAGAGCATATAAAGTAATACAAACAACACGTAGTCGTACTATTGCGTATGTAGACTTGTACACAAATTTAATTTCTGTACTGTATAAAGTAAAATTGGATTCCTATGTTAAAGTTGATTTTTGATGTATATTATATTGTACTGTGATGTCGACAAAACGAGTACGTGCAAATCCAAAGCTATTTCAGTGTTATGAGTAGGTACAGTCGCTGTATGAAGATTTATTATTTTGATTTCGGCTGTTTTAGTGTGATTGTTTAAATTATTCAGAAGGGTTGTTGCAGTGCAAATTTATATAAAATAAGTAAGTTACGTAAACAAGCCCTAAGGTTTATTGAATTATGGTTTGTCACACATATATGCATATATGTATGTAGGGACACGAATTTTATTTCTGTGAGTTTTAATTTAATTTTCTATGTTAAAGTTTTTCATGTCAATAATTCATTTTGTATTTCACTAATATTATGCCAGTATTGTATACGTGTACGAAAAATAAACGTTTTTTAATTTATTTCCTAAATAAGTATAATCTTTTTATTATTTAAGTCGTTTTGTGTCAAGTATTTTAAGCCTGCAATTTTATTTTGTTTAAATTTGTGAACAATTCTCAAAAAAATACAACCG